TTTAAGAAAATTTATATTTAAAAAAATTACTCAAAGATATACGAGAATTGAGCCATGTTATAATATTTACCGATCGGTTGATCGACTGAATGGCTGATTGATTGATTATGCAACAGATATATCTATTCCCGTGGTATAATTAACAATAAAATCCCACGGAGATGAATTTACAAACAACATAAACGATCATACAAGGTAACAATAGCACAGACAGTAAATTACAGATAATAAAGCTGTATAAAAACGAAACACTGAACCGTACATTATATTCAAAATAGGTTCGTACAGTAATTGACTCAAAACCTGGGTATAGTTTAATGTTAGGTCTTGTAGTACACTTACTGGCAAAATTATGCTACTATACTTAAGGCTGCATGTGCCAGGCCTCCAAACAAAACGTACTAATATGTTTTTTTTTAAATAACCAATTAAGTTCGATGAAACTTTGTCTATAAGATAAGGATATATATCAACGTTTCATGCAAATTAGATTTTATTTAAACGAATTAGTTTTAGAATTACATGTACCTGACTTTTTTTTATTTTATTTATTTCAGGCAACCGAATATAATTTATTTAACAATATTGACCCATATTCTATATACAATAAGGACTGATATGTATAGAAAATAATAAAATATTAGTATTGACTTTTTGGTCATCACATTCACTATGGCAATCTGCCACGGCAACGGCGGTACACAACTCCCTTTTCTCTCGATTTTCATCAATAAAAGCATGTATCTTTAAACAAATTCGCGAGAAAATAGAAATAAAAAAAAAAGTTTTTTTTTATACCACTATGGTGGCAATCAGGCATACGGCCCATCTGATGGTAAATGATTACCGTAGCCTATGGACGCCTGAAACAAAGCAAACAAAACAAAGCAAAACAAAGCAAAGCGCACCCCTAGTGGGTGCGCTTTGCCGACCCTTAAGACCTTGAAAAACCCCATGCTGTAGTCTCGTGAGAAAACCTCAGCAGGAATTTCATTCCACAATGTAAGTGTACGCGGGAGGAAGCTCCTCTGAAACTGCGTATCCTCGCCTCGCTGCCGACTCCTCTAAAATGTGCAAGATATTGAAATTAGAATGACGAAATTATTCTCTATATATTAAGAGTAATAATAGAGTAAGACGAATATAAAGCTGGTTTGCAGGTGAAATAGCTGACACGGTATCTGTCTAAAGTAACGTAAATTTTTACAAGGTTTATCTTGGTAAAATTTATAAATTTTACGATTTATTATCTACATTAGGATATTTATTCTAGATATACTAATATGTCATAATGAGAATATATGATATTATTTATTAGTTTTCATTAGAAAAAGATTTTTATCATTTATATACTCTTCAGTTTTATAATAAGCTTCTTAAAAAGAATGTGTTTTATAAGACACTCGCTTTTGCCCGCGGCTTCGCTTTAATTTATCCCCTTAGGGGTGGAATTTATCAAAATCCTTTCTTAGGGGATGGCTTCGTCATAGTAGATTTATGCATGCAAAGTCTCAGCCCGATCGGTTTAAAATTGACAAAGTTTCATACAAACTTTCATCCCCTATTTTATCCCCTTGGGGGTAGAATTAATCAAAATCCTTTCTTATGCCTACGTCATAACATCTACCTGCATGCCAAATTTCAGCCCGATCCGTCCAGTGGTCTGTACGTTGATAGATATATAGACTAGAGAGAGAGCACCTGGCTTCGTATTACAAATCTTTGCATTTCACAGCATGTTCTATACACGCATGTTTAACACATGTAAACCTTTTTCTTGAATCGCTCTATCTATTGCTAGAAACTGCATTAAAATCCGTTGCGCAATTTAAAAGATCTAAGCGAACAGACAGCGGCGTCTTCATTTTATATGTAAAGATTTCTTATTTATAAATTTTAGTGGCAAAAAAAAACAGTAAAAACTGTACCTACTGTACTTATTATTAAAATAAGCGGTCTTATAATCAAAACAATTAATTACGGATAAAATTGGCATGACATTGTAATATATTTTAAGGTAGTCACACTATCGTTACTTCAAATATTATAGGATTTTGTTTTTTCAAATAAATAAATAACCCCTCGGTAAGCAGAGCTTGTGTTATACAACTGATATAAATATTTAATTTGTTTTTGTAAATACATACATAATATACATAGAATACACCCGGGCCGGTACAAAAAATCATACTCATGCATACAATTGTTTGTCCTATGCGAGGAATCCACTGAGATACAAAACCAAAGATGGAAACAAACCACCGATTGCAAACAATCAAAAGTGGCAATTCCTAAAACAAACCAACGAATGACAAACGCCTACTAAATCTGGACAGGCAGATCCCTTAAACAGACATCTGTACATAATAGGTGCTACAGACAGTCCCCTGTGCCGGGGCTACTTTGTAGCCGAGGAAACAGCTGCTCACGTAATCCTGTAGTGGGTAGCAGTGGCCACACAACGTAATCAAATCCTCGGAACGGTGAGGTCGCTCCGTGAAGCTGCGAAGACAACAGGAGATTGCGCTTCTGGGAGGAGCTTGGCTGGCTGCTTTAGTAGCCTGGCTGTACACGCACAACGGCCCAAATGAGAGGCCAATTGCGGAAAATGGAATCCAACCTACTCTATACTCAACTCCCATGCGAGGAATCGAACCCGCGACCATCAGAAGCAAAGCGGTGTGCGAAACCGCTAGATCACCGCGGCCGTCAACAAATAAACTTACGTTTAAGTACTTTTGAATAATCATACTTATTTTTTTAACCTACTACTTATTCTAAGCTAAAGTCTAATTACAAGAAGAACGAGCAAAAAACTTGCGTGTTGTTTTTTTAAATAATTAACCTGTAACTTTACATTTTTTTTTAAATATGTAAATACAAACTAGCAAATTATATTAATTTATTTATTTAAATTTCTGTGGAAGTGATTAGAGCAGACCAGTCCTTACAAGCAGCACTCGTTCTCGAGCATGACAGAGTCAGCCATCACTGCGTTCGACCACGTTTTAGGTTCTCTATCTTACAGATAACCTTGGCATGACATTGTATTGTATTTCAGAATAGTCACACTATTATTACCCATAAATCTGTCTGTAAAGGAATTTTGTAATGTTTTAAATTTGGTGCAGTCATTATTTATACGTATAATAAGAAAAAAATCACGGATTTTTTTTTTATTTTCATGTTTCATGTGTCCATGTTCTATTACAGACTCTTATGATATGTCAAATCTACCGTCAGTTCGGAATGATATCGAGATGAGAAGAACTGACAAGAAACTCAGCTCGTATTTTTTTCAAATAATAGTGGAACATGTTTATAATAATACACAGTCATTAAAATTCAAATTTGGGAGAATAGAGTGACCACCAGCATATGCTATCGCAAAGAACAAAAAATTTAATCAGTGTTCACAACCTGAACAGACCAGTCCCCACAAGTAGCACCCGTTCACGAGTATGACGGATGAGCCAGCCATCATTGCACTCAACCATATTTGAGGGAGCACATCGACCCGGCCCACCACGCCGCCACAAGTTTGAACTTTATAGCGAGCATGACTGTTTCAGGTTACTCCACTACGTCAATTATATTATTTACAGCATAGGCTGTACCGATCACAGTTTTCACCCATTACAATATTAAATTTACATTATTTAATTTACAATATGTCATTACAAAATTTATAATAAGTTTCTTTAATGTTATTACATTATCCATGTCAATGGGAAAAATTATAAATAATTATGTGAATATATGTTTTACTTATTTTTATAGAGTTCCCGATATGTCGGCAGTGATTCAACCGCCATGATCACGGGTAAATTGATGGTAAATAAAATCTTTTATGGACAGACATATTCGCTTCAAAATCTGTTGCGTAGTTTTAAAGATTTAAGCATACATAGGAACAGACAGCGAGCACTTTGTTTTATACGACTTTGTATTAAGTCTTTGTATACATGAAGATGCTGTGAGCACGGAGATGTGAAGCATCACATCTCCGTTTGTTGCTACTATTGAAACTCGCTAGATATTCATCTTGGCAAACTATACTCACAGCATCTTCATGTGTACATGAAGACTTAATACACTATAAGAAGGCAATCTTAATCTTTACATAGTATAAAACAAAGTCGCTGTCGCTGTCTGTTCCTATGTATGCTTAAATCTTTAAAACTATGCAACAGATTTTGAAGCGTTTTTTTTTATATATATATAATAATACATATACACCCGTGCGAAGCCGAGGTGAGTAGCTAGTTTTAATAATATTATTAACGCTAAAGTTTGTAAGTATGGATGTTTGTTACTCTTTCACGCAAAAACTACTGAACGGATTATGATGAAACTTTACAGTAGTATAGCTTATACATCAGAATAACACATAGGCTATATTTTATACTAGCTGACCCGTGCAACTTCGTCTGCTTTTTATTTCCCCACCTTTTGCAATATTTTTCATTGCAGCTCTGCTCCTATTGGTCATAAAGTAATGTTACATAGCTTAAAGCCTTCCTCGACAAATGGACTATCCAACTCAAAAAGATTTTTTCAATTCGAACCAGTAGTTTCTGAGATTAACGCGTTCAAACAAACAAACTACTCGCTACTCGCTCCGGCTTCGCCCGGGTGTACATGTATTATACATATAAACCTTCCTCTTGAATCATTCTATCTATTGAAAAAAACCGCTTCAAAAACTTAGATTTAAGCATACATAGGGACGGACAGACAGCGACAGCGACTTTGTTTTATACTATGTAATGAAGTATACATAGATTGAAAATTAACGCGAGTGAAACGCAGGCGCAGCTAGTAAAAATAAAGAAATGGCAAGAATCCGTGATTATTCCTAATTATACCAAACTGGTAATAAAAGTTTCTGTACTGTAAATTGGTTTATATAAACATGGCTTTACTATGTAATACTATATTATCTGAGACTTTACTATATAGATATGTAAAAGACACTGCGCTCGAGTCATCGCCGCCAGTGTAACTGCAAACGCGGTAGATACAAGTAGTCACTATGTTCGTGGAGTTATTAATATTTCTTCTCACATTTCTCGCAGCCTATTACATATACCTCTATTATAAAGCGCATGATTACTTCAGGAAGAGAGACATAAAGTTCTTACCTGGTGTCCCACTATTCGGGAATTCGTTGCAGAGCACACTTTTGAAGAGTCACATTTGGGAGGATGTCGATGTTGTTTACAAGTCATTTCCCGACGAAAAGTAAGTTATATCTTTGTTTTATAGAAATAGAAATAATCTTTATTCAAATAAACTCAATACAAACACTTTTGAATAGTCATATTTTTATTCTACCACTTATTCGGAATGCAGATTCATCACAAGGAGAATGAGCAAGAAACTTGTGTGTTGCTCTTTTGAATAGATGTTTATATTTCTTCAAATTAAAAAGATGTAATGGAACACTTGTTATGTAAGTTCGTCCGTTATAGAGCTATATGGGAAACTAATATTAAATAGTTAAATAGTTTTAAGAACTATTGTATATATATGGAATTAATATAGATATATAACCTTAGTTAAGTCCCTTTTGTATTTGTTATTTTTTGCACAATAAAGTTATTATTATTATTAATATTGGAATTATTATTATTTTTAGTTCGTGTATTAATGTTATTAACAGTTTCTTATAGACTTATAAGTTCTGTGTGAATAGTGTAATAGGGACGAGTAGATAGCTTCAAATATTTTCTTACAAAAAATGCGTTCATAACGTTCTTCAGAAGATCGTAATAATAATAAATTTTGAAATAAACCACCAATAAAAAAAATCATCTATTATAGCTAATAACCATTTCGAACACGACTGCTTTCGAACAAAATAAACGAAAAAAGCTGCATCATAATCGGCCCACTCGTTTAGGAGCTAATATGCCACACACAGACACATATGTACATTAAACTTATATCACCATTTTTTTAGTGGAGTTTTTATATATTCTAAGAACATATAGGAGACAACATAATGACAAGGTTGTAACTGTTTTAAATCCACTAAAAAATTGTTTTTCATGGTCGGAATAGAACTAACGACCTCTGTAGTCATATGTCGGGGTAATAACTCACTGCGCCAATACTCACTCACTTGATAATCGTTTTATACCTGTTATTTAGAAATAAATAAATAAGATTTCTTATCAACGTTAAACTTACGGCCCAAATTTATGTAAACAAACATAATAATCTTTATTATTGACTAACAGTGTTCTTGATTACGTCTGTGTGAGCAGGATAGATTAACTATGTCCATCTCTATATCAAGGTTGATCCGTTTATATGCCGAGACGCAATAAAAACAAGATATTTTATACTAGCCGGCTCGCGCTAAATTGTCTGTTGTATGTTTTTTCAACATTTTCCAGCTCAGCTTCTTTATGCTAGATGTTATAGTTTATGGTATAGCCCCTAGTAGGCCTGCAATAAGGAACTTAGTGAAGCGTTTTCAACAGCATGGCTCTGTAAGTGATAGGACTAGAAGTGGACGAGGTCTTTCAATATGTACACGGGAAAGTACTGAAGCTCTCTGAAACCTGACAGCATAATTTACTCGTTTCTGAAAGTCTGCTGGTTTTAAAGATTGCACTAATTGAACCTTGTAAGGGTACATGTGCAAGTCTCTTTGAATGCGCTGCAGAGAACTCCGTGAGATGCCAAGTTCTTGACAACGCCTTCGAGTGGATGTGGTTGGGTTCTCTTCAATGCTACGGCTCACAGCTTCAGTACTTTCACGTGTACGTACTGAAAGACCTCGTCCACTTCTAGTCCTATCACTTACAGAGCCATGCTGTTGAAAACGCTTCACTAAGTTCCTTATTGCAGGCCTACTAGGGGGATTGACCATCCATTTTCAAAGTAAAATTCAATTATCTTCACTCGTTGTTCTGTTGTAAACTTATCCATGATAAAATTTTCCAGGGATTATATTTTTTAATTCTGAAAAGAGTAAAAGAAATATATTAATAGAAAAAAAGTTATTTAATATTCAAAATGTAAAGTGACTTCTGGCCACCCTGTATGTATAATTAAAAAAATGACGGGATCTTACTACGTTTTATTCAGTTCACCCGTGATTATGGCGGTTGAAATACTACTGAAATGTCGGAAACTCAATAAAAGAAATAAAACGTGGTAAGATCTCGTGATTTTTCCTAATTATACATATAAATAGTAACAGAGTCTGCCCCAAGTATCTAAATTCGCAAACTTTACCAGTGAGTTTCTTCTTTATTCTCAACCGAACTGGACGGTAGGGATAGGATACAAATAATGACGTGTATAGGATGCCGAAAGGTTCTGAATGAATTAATATATTTTTGACTTTGGCCCTGGTCCCCACCGACTTGCTGCCCACCTTCATGAAAGAGGACTACTGGTAAGGTGTGGTATATCGGAGCTACCGTGGCAGATTGCCGTCTTCAGTGCCGTGATCACACAGACAATATCAATGTATTAGTTTATAAATATTATATTATATGTATATTAGTTTATAAGGTATTTATAATATGGGCCTAGTTGCCTGAAATAAATAAAAAATAAATAGCTTTTCAGGTTATGCCTCTTTCACTGTATGTTACAAATACATATAACTATAGTGATATAGGAAACAACTTTAATAAGTAATTTTATTTTAAATATAAAAAAAAAGTCAGGAATAACATTCAAAAGACCTATTTAAATAAATACATACCTATTTTATGCATTTTACGGCGCAATTAATATTATTATTATTTTTAAAAAAACTTTTTAATGTTATGAGTAATTTTTTTATCTTCAAATTACATAGCTATGCAATCCTCTACAATTTTAGTTATTGTTAGTCGAAATAACATTTCTTCATGGTTGTTATTAGAAAACTGACTGATTAAATTAATAAAGTTCTTTTATTTTCCCTCATACTATGATCCTTGTAAGGAAGCGTCGGTTTCGGTTTCGGCCGAAACTGAGATCATTTCCGAAATCGGTTTTCATTTCGGATTCGGTCTTAAAAACCAGTATAGGTGGAACATTACATATAAAGCATATTCTATCAAGTAGGTACATTGTTAAATACGATTGAAGTCGCAATGGGACTCCGTTATTATCATAATTGAGTGTTTTGCTCCTGTACACACAAGATAATTGTCACTTTGAACTATTGCGTCATACATATTTATTTTTGTCCATTTGGATGATTGGTATACAGTTAATAGTAGTGCGAAGCACCAAGAGGAATTTCTCAAATAAAACTCCATATTTTCAAGCAAAACCAGTATTAATAAATTTAATTTCTACATTAATTACTTGCTAAAAAAGGAAGGATAAAATTGTTGTTATATCAAGTTATATGTATTTTTTGTTCATTATATGCATATATCACATTTCACAGAGTTTTGATTTACATTTCAAGCCCTTATTATCGTTCATAAAATACAATGACAAAATTTTAACATGTAAAATTGTAAAATGGCTCATCTTTTCTTTGACCTTTAATATTTACACTGTTTGCTCACTAATGGAGAAGGTGGTAAAGCAGCGGTCAGGTTTCCGCATTGAATTTTGGTGATCTCAAAGGTGCAAATATCAAGGACAAATGTCCTTGAGCCACTTATGAACGTTAAATGTTTTGTATTGTAATTTTTCCCCTACCGTCCAGTACTATATACAAATACGATTGAGAAGAATTGGCAAGAAATTCAACTGAATTTCTTTTAAATATAACATAAATATGTATATATAATTAAGTATTTATATCAGTTGCCTAGTATATGTTGTATCTGGCTAAGCGGAAGTGTATTTTTTAATTCTAAATTTATATTTCCTTTATTGATAGTACAATTCTTGTATATATGTACTTATTATATTCTATCTTGTCAAGAGTTTTCCCCTATATATATTTGCGTATACAAAGTATTTTTCTATAGTTTTCCTTTTACCCATACACGTGTAAAATAAAACTACAACAGTATTATTATTTACTAGCTGTACCCGTGATTTCGTCCGCGTGGAATTTAAACTTTATTTTTCTAAAAAAAAAGAATTTTTCAAAAATAAAAATAGTCTAAGTTACTCCTTATTACATCAACTACCTGCCAATAAAAGTCCCGTCAAAATCGGTCCAGCCATTTTAGAGATTAGCCGGAACAAACAGACAGACAGACAAAAATTGTAAAAAATGTTATTTTGGTGTATGTACCGTTTTCATATTCATATGCATGTAGTAAAAAACGGTCATTTCAATATTACAAACAGACAATCCAATTTTATTTATATGTATATATTGTTAAGCATACAATTTGCGCCGAAGTTAAATATATGTAATACACATAAATTAAATTTCAGATACGTGGGTTACATCGAGGGGACGGTGCCTGTAATTCTTGTGAGGGAGCCGACTTTGATAAAAGCGATCACTGTCAAGGATTTCGATCACTTTGTCAATCATAAGGATTTCTTTGACAGAGATATAGAACCTTTATTTGCAGGCAGCCTGATACAGATGAAAGGTACGAGAATATACTTTTAGAAGCTGGCAGGTTTAGCGATCTAGCATACCGCCTTACGCTTCCAAGGTCACGTGTTCGATTCCTCGCACGGCACAAACATTTCTATTCATGAGTATGATCGTTTGTATCGATCGGTCTTGGTGTTTTGTATGTATAATATGTATTTACGAAAAAAATATCTATGTATTTGTATCAGTTGTCTAGTACCCATAACACAAGATTTAGCTAGCTTAACTTGGGTTTAGATGACGCTGTGTGATATGTCCTGAGATTATTATTATTAAACAACATGCAGGTAACAGGGATATAGAAGGCCTAGTGGTTTAGCATAATAAGGTAGTAACCTTGCATCCGATTATTGCGGGTTCTGTTCTTCGCACGTTACAAACATTTGTATTCATGCCATATCAGGGTATACCAGAGCTTTAATGAAAGGAATGAGGAATAAGGATTGCTATCCTTATTCCACCTAGCCTTTGCAGTACCAACGAACGATAGGCAAGTGCAGATAGCACTCGACTTATGGAGCAGTAGAAAGCAAACTCCTGCGTGACGGATATGACTTTAGTCTGAGGACACCGCTTGGAGTTCGAACCTTGGCTCAGGCCGTCGTAATTTCGATCCCCGTTTGAATTAGACGGGGGAACGCTCGGGTAAGATTTGCAATTACGGTTTCTATCATGTGTCCCAGATGAAGTTACTATTTTATATAAGTGTGGACTATTTTAAATGAAGTTGGTCGATAAAAGTCATTTGTCGGGCAATCGGATTTCCATAATGAGCTACCGAGGTTATCGCTGAATACTGATAAGTCGTACACAATATCCTAATTTAATCCAGTAGCACAAGTCTATACACTAGTGCTACATGATTATATTAAGAAAATGCACACAACTCGTCCGTTGCGTTCGCTGGCTGCTCGTATAATGACTTATTTGGCCGAAGCACTGTTCATAGGCCGCCATCTTGTGCCACATTACTATTGAAATACCGGAAGTGCTAAAAGTTCGTCAAATCATTCAAAGATTTTTTAAATAAATTTTTTAATTTGCATAATAAGGTTAATTTATATGTTAATCTCTGTGTATGTTGGTTTATCTGTATATACAAATATATCAGTTCACCAAAACTATTCAGTTTAAGGTAAAACAAAGTCTCCACGGTCACATACTCTCATATCTTTTAAATGAAACTACAGATTTTTATGCAGTCTTGTGTAAAACATTGATTCATGAGGAAGTTTTATATGTACCTATAATACATGTGTATACCCATTTTAGGGCGTCAAAAATGTATTATTACAATTTAACAACTCTCTATTTATGTGCTTTATACTTTTGTGATACTGAAATAAATAAATACAAATACAGAAAGGCCTAGAAATTCCAGAATGTAATGCATGCGAAACCGGGGCGAGTTGCTAGTGAAACGTATAAGAGCAAATTATCATTTATCGTTATGTGATTATTATCATTTCAGATGACAGATGGCGAGACATGCGCGTAACCCTGAGTCCAGCATTCACCGGCTCCAAAATGAGACTCATGATGCCGTTCATGACGGAAATTAGCAAGAACATAGTGGAGTACATTAAAGGTACGGGTCCATCTATACTGCTTGTAAGTATTCACTGTACAACGGCGGGTCCAGGGCGGGAGGGTCACGGGGGTCATGACCCCCCTGAGCTGGTTCCAGGACTTAGGTGGACCACTCATTGAATATAATGATTTTATTTTTATATTCTGTCACCATACAGATTTTACGGAACTACATACCTTCAATATTTAAATAATTTAATATAATATAATTAATTTGTATTATTAATAAAATACCTACTTTTTACTTGTTATCAAAATTAAATTATGAGTTCTTGTCTTGACCACGACTATGTGACCCCCTCCTGGCGCCAAAGCTGGATCCGCTCTTGACTGTAAATAAAACAATGATTAGAAAAAGTATTATCTATATATCTATCTACGTTATAAAATCGTAACCGACTCACTACTGGTTAGGCCATGCTGTAAAAATTTATTAATATTATAAATGCAAAAGTTTGTAAGTATGGATGTTTGTATGGATTACCCTTTCACGCAAAAACTATAGAACGGATTTTGATGAAACTACAGCTTACTATAGCAGCTACAATAGCTTATGCATCACAATAACATAGGCTATATTTTATTATTGAAATCTATATATTGAAATAAAACACGAGTGAAACAGCGGGCACAGCTAGTGGTAATATAATAATAAATAAGAGATCTCTTCTAGAGATAAGTTCAGCTTTGCTCTCTTAATAAATGTATAATAATAAATCAATGAAGAAATAATTAATAAATATAAAATAATTAATTAATTAATAGATGTTATTATAATTATCTTTATCAGAAAATCCTACCAATGAAAGTGACGTGAACGACCTGGTCCGGCGGTATACCGTGGACGTCATCGCATCAGTCGGGTTCGGGCTTCAAGTCAACTCTCTTAAGGACAAAAACAATGATTTCTTTAGATTGGGTTCAAATTTATTCAAATTCAGCTATAAACAGTGGATCACACTGTTAATTTCAAGTCATTGTCCAATCATTGGCAAGGTAATTCCGTTGAATTTTTTTAATGGTATAGGTTTCAGGATATTGAAAAATAGATGGATGGATTGTGTGAAAGATGATATGTATGAAATTAGAGTAAACTCAGATATGACTGTTGATAGGACTCAAATTGAAGACGATGACTTACTGCACCAACCATAAATAATGGGATAAGGCAATGTACTAGAAGCAAGCCAACGGACCACGTGATGGTCCAACCGTTACCAATAATAATAATAATAATCTTGGACAGTACATACAGCATCTTTAAGTCCCAAGTTAAGAAGAGCTATTGTTATGGGTACTAGATAACTGATAGAAATACTTAAATATTTTTTTGTAAATTATGTATGAACCCATAATATACACAGAAAAAATCCAGACTAATACATCTTACTAATGAATATAGATGTTAGCATGGTACAAAAAATCGAATGCGGGAACATCGTTAGTACTAAACCACATCGTCAGCGTATTAAACTGCTATATTACACCATATTACAATAGGATTTAATACATTGTTTGTTCAGGCATTGGGGCTGAAATTATTCTCACAAGAGACTATTGACTTTTTTTCAAACACTGTCAAAGACACAATAAGTTACAGAGAGAAGAATAATGTGGTAAGACCAGACATGCTCCAGCTTTTAATAGAAGCAACTAAAGGTAATGTTAACAATTAAACAAAAAAACTATAAATAATGCTTTATACATTTATATTATACTATTTAATTCCGTTACTATTAGCATAAATATTCAGTGCACAAACCTTACGGACTGTGTTGTAGACTTCGAACTGCATCTGAACTCTATTGATGATGCGAATCGTTTAGATCATTTAGAGGTGAAACACGTGTCGCGATATGGGTGTGGATCCAATAGCGGCCGGAATTTAATTACTAATAGGGAAGGCCATAACGCTTCCAGTAGCGGTGGCCAGGTTTCCGCACTAAATATTTGGTCTCACACATGCTAGTGACGGTGTACAACAATAATATCTTATAAGTACTGTTATAAATATATAATATAATTATAAATATAGTAATCGGTGTGGGACCTCAGTCTCATCTATTTTAGCTGTTGAGAAAGTACAGGATAAGATAAATGACATCTTTGTTCTCTGGAATGGCGTGATAACACGATATCACTTGAAAACGTGATCTCCGTTTTGCTATTCATATACAGATATAGGCGAGGATTGTTGCTTACCATCAGGCAGGCCGTCAGCTTGTTTGTAATAAAAATTACGTGAAGAAATCTCTAAGGGTGGGTTTTTTTACTCTTTTACTTCCCTTGCGCTGCTAATTTCTCCAACTGAAAATGTTGACTTTGAAGAAATAAAATGTAGGAACGATAGTATAGATAGTGAGAATAAAATAACAATGGATACTAGTAATCAATAACCATTGAATTTTATAGGAATATTGAAAGCAAGCTCAGATGAGAAGTATGATGCTGGTTTTGCCGCAACTGAGGAGGGCTTAAAGTCACGGAACATTACTAGAGGTATGTAACGTAATTCTCTTTATCTTTATGTCTTGATCATAATCTTACCAGATTTAATGTAAAGATTTACGTGTAAACTCCATTACTGTCTATTAATATTAATTCCATAATCTTTGGAACACCACTCTGTAGAATTCTATTCCAGATAAGAATAGTAATAAGACAGGACATTTCATACAACGCCATGTAGATGACGCTGTATGAATTGCCCTGTCTAAGCAAAGCTTGTATTATGGGTACTAGTTAACTAATAGTATTACTTAATTATCTTTTTACATTCTTATACACCCAGATCTATATCAACAATCATACTCCTGAATACAATGTTAGTATCGTGCGAGGAATCGTATCCAGGGCCATTGTAATTAAAACGGTGTACAATGCAATTTTAGGGGTTAATACTTATAAATTTACGATAGATAATAGTTTATTATTATAATTTAGGATATCACAAATTTTAATTTTAATTCGATACAAGTAAAAAACGATTTATAAAAAAATAAGGCACTGATAATACAGAAACTTCTTTTAGAGTGGACAGCAAATGAAATAACTAGTCAAGTATTCATCTTTTTTGCTGCTGGTTTTGAGAGTACAGCTGGTACAATAGCAATCTGTCTCCACGAGCTGGCTTTAAACCCAGAAGTACAAGAAAAATTGTACCAGGAACTCAGAGATTTCAAAGAGGATCATGAAAACTTGACATACGAAAATTTGACCAAGTTGAAGTATTTAGACGGTGTTGTTACAGGTAAGTTGTCAAAATCATTTTAGAAACCACTATGACAAGATTAACTATATTTTTATAACACTATTGCAGAGACATTGAGGAAATGGGCCGTAGCGGTCTTAATGGATAGAGTTTGCACTAAACCATACGTGTTACCTCCACCGAGAGAGGGAGGAAAACCATATCAAGTAAGTATAGCAAAGAGCCGTTGTGCGTGTAGAGCCAGACTACTAAAGTAGCCAGACTACTAAAGTAGCCAGCCAAGCTCCTCCCAAAAGCCCAGAAGACTCCTGGTGTCTTCACAGGCTTCACGGAGCTACCTCACCGTTCCGAGGATTTGTTTTAATTGTGGGGCCACTGCAAGCACTCCAGGATTACGTGAGCCGCCGTTTCTTCAGCTTCAAAGCAGCCCCGACAAAGGGGACTCTCTGTAGCATCTATTGTGTATATGTAGGTGCTTGTTTAAGGAACAATGGCCCGTTATTGTCCCTATCATTATTTTAAGGTTATGCCTATCTAGATTAAGTAGGCGTGTTGTTAATCGATGGTTTGTTTTTGGAATTGCCACTTTTGATTGTTTGGCAATCAGTGGTTAGGTTCCATCTTTGGTTTTGTGTCTCGGTGGATCTCTGGCGAATCCAGGTGCGAGAAAGCAAAGCGGGAGGGCGCCTGAAACCACCACGCCAGATCCTAGCTCGATGCTTGTAAGCCGTATGATATAAGAAAAATGTAAATGAGAGCGTCAAGGCCTAATTACTACCCTGAATTACTCCCAAGAGTTCATTAATTCAAATATGGTCACAACACCAAAAAAATTCCGTTTGTCTATTAATATTTCTGACTCCTGTGAAGAATACATCGGCATCTAACCAAAGATTATCCGAAAGACGGCAGATGGTTCGTCTCCTGCCACATTGGATTCAAAATATACCGAGTGTTTCACGTCAAGTATTGCGTTCATTATGACATTCATATTTGACAAGACCTCTAATTACTCCTTCTGGAATAACAGTCCTAACAGGATTATAATTTAATATAGAAAATGCAATCAATGAAATCTAAAACAAGACATTACTAAAGCCATGTGACTCGATCTAAACGCATTTTTTTTAAAGTACTAAATTCTTTTCTGACAGATAAAAGCTGGCGATATTGTATACAATATGGTGAACAGTATTCATATGGATGAGAAATACTACCCGCAACCTGAAATCTTCAATCCTGATAGGTTTTCAGATGAGAATAAAGCTAATATATTACCAACTACTTACATGCCGTTTGGCAATGGCCCAAGGAATTGTATCGGTATGTGATCACGATATTTATTTTTATCATATATTAATTCTTCCATAATCGTTTATATAGAAAACAGAAAAGCAATACACTCTTACCATTAGGATCTAGGACCAGGTATTAAAGAAAGTATTATATTTAATATGAATACGGAAGAGCGGAAAGGGAAAGGACGACCGAAAAAGAGATGGATAGTGTGAAAGATGATATGTATAAAAGGAGAGTAAGCTCAGATATGACGACTGATAGGGATCAATGGAAGAAGATAGCATACTGCGCCGACACAAATAATGGGATAAACGCAAGGTGATGATGATGACATTTATTTTTATTTCACCTCATTTTATCTAATGAAATGCGGGAAGTATAACGAATATGAGACTCACCATGACAGCAGGACTGTATAAATATTATACTTTGGAAATAATTCATCTAAGAAAATGTTTCGTGTTTTCTCAAATGTAGACTCATTAGAATTTATATTATTGAAAAAACGATAAAAATTACGATTACGGTAGAAAAAATGTAATACATAAAACTTGAAATTCATAAACGGCCAAAATATCCTACATAAATAATTTTTGATTTGATTACAATCCCTTTTTGGACTGTAATCATAGTTCTGGAGAAAGAGCCAATAGCCAATAGCCAACTACATACCGAAACCAAATTAAATATATCTATGCAATTGAAACCTTTACCGAGATAGACTTTGTAAAAATCGTCAGATGAGCGTCAGCTTGCTTGCCATTCTAATTGCATAAAATATTACATATCTTAAATTTTATATATTACGATTACGTTCAAAAAGCCCATCAGACGTTTTCAACGGAACGTGTCATTTTGAACTTATCAACCACACTTCGATTTTCCATTCTTAAATATAGCATTTCGCTGTTTCTTTTTGAATTATCAGCATTTTAATATTGTTTGTTATTAATTATAGAATTTTTAATTCAATTTTGTTTGGTTACATTTTTGCGGATATTGTACAGGAATATTATTATTTTACTATTCTATTCTGATTTATCTGATTTTAATAATTCCCTGCTCCATTCTGAATCATCACATTTTAATTTCTTTATTAATTCTTGAATTTTATTTCTATTCTCTTTTGTTACATTTCTGTGTATATTGTCCAGGGATATTATTATTATTTTACTATTTTCTATTCTAATTTATCTCAGTTTACTAAATTATGTTATGTTATATCAGGTTCCAGGTTTGCATTGATGCAGGTCAAAGTGCTCATTTACGATCTAATACTGAACTTCAGAGTACTTAAAAGCAAGAAGACATTGGATCCTATTCGTCTGCATCACAACGACTTCAATATTAAAGCATTGGGGGGTACTTACTTGAAATTTGAAGCTAGATCTTAAAACAGTAAAGTTCAAAATGATTTGACATTGTGATATAATAATGTATCGAATGATGATAAGAACAATAATAATAATATTTGAGTAAAATAAATGAAAAAGTATGTATACACAAAACCGTATAGTCCCAAACTAAGGACAGCTGTTACTATAAATACTAGAAAACTAATTGATATAGTTAAGTAAACAACAAACATGTTCTGAAGTAAATCAATATTTCTATTGTATATGAATAAGAAAAAAGTAAGCGAAATCAAAGTCGATAATAAAAGTATATGACACTAAATTCAAAGTAAAAATTTTCTATTATTTCATTGTTAACCTCACCACGCATTGATGTGGTTCAGTTCTAATCACTAGATGTCAATAAAACTGCCCTCCTATCCTTTATCTTTTAAGTTGACCAAATTTAAGAGTAACCTATACGCATTTCATAAAAAATGGTCAAGAGATGTCGGTTTTATCTTTTATAAATATTATAATTTCATGAGTTTATTATTATTATACTTATTTAATAGTAATTATTAAGTAATAATAAATAAATAAATATAACAACAATAAGCGCTTGTCACACACACACAAATCACAATATTTATACGAGATAAACTTGACACTCTTTGACCATTTTTTATGAAATGCGTGTAGGTTATTCTAAAATTGAAAAATCTTATATTATTCTGAATTGTGTCAAATTTATTTATTAATCAAAATGTTAAAAATCTCTGAATGCAATATGAAAGGTTTAACTGAAATATTTATGTATAACACAACGCGTATCTCTTTTATTACTTGCCTTTGATCTTAGATTAGTGAATTGAGTTTTATTTATTTATTTAGTATTTATTATGACGACCTCGGTGATCTAGCGGTCTAGCACACCACTTTACGTCCGATGGTCGCGGGTTCGATTCCTCGCACGGCACAAATATTTGTATTCATGAGGTGGGTGGGTATTTTCTGGGTGTTTTCTATGTATAATATGTATGTATTTACGAAAAAAAATATCTATGTATTTGTATCAGTTATCTAGTGTCCATAACACAAGCTTTAGCTAGCTTAACTTGGGTCTAGATGGCCCTGTGTGAATTGTCCTGAGATTATTATTATATATTATTATTATTATTATATTATCACAATTAATGATTATGTTATTACAATATCTCTTTTCTAATTTGACTTGTGATAATGTTAAGTTGATATTTATTTAAAATCTAAGTTACACTTGTAATGGTACTTTGTATTTCTATACATGTAATAAAGTAATTTTATAATAAATATAATGAAATATTTTATGTGTTTAATGATTCCCTCATACGCATCATTATTATAATGATCATGATCATCGTTATTGGGTCTCATTGCTAACAATGACATTATGATATTTAAAGTATTCTTTTTGATGAAATTGATATTTATCTAAAATTATACAAATAAATAGATGTGATTATATTAAAAATAGATCTGAATGGATTTTAATGTGTTTTTATCCAACAATAGAGTGATTTCTGGGAACGTAGATGTACGACGACTGCGATTATGTTTTTAGCCATCAACAGAGTGATATCTATGGAAGGTTCAGTTGTATAATTTGTTAAAATTTTGTGTAAATTAATTTTAAAACACAGACGAAGTCAGTGCCAGTAACCTAGTCCCCATGTAAGCGGAACTTATGTATACTAGACAACTGATACAAATACTACGATATATATTTTTTTGTAAATACATACATAAAAAACACCCAGACAGATACAAACAATCATACTCATGAATACAAATGTGTGTACTGTGCGAGGAATCGAACCTGATACCAATGGAAGTAAAGCGGTGTGGTAAACAGCTAGACCACTGAGGTGGTTAAATGTTACAATAATATATAAGAACCAATAATTGTCAGCTATTCCAGAATTGTTTGCAATTACCTTGCATTCCATTGCCAAATCTCTACTCATTGAATAACTGATAAGTATTTACAGCGGAATGCTGCAGTTGACAACGCTGTGATGTCTATGTACATAGTCATATAAATAGCGTCGTCTACATATATATAGTACATATCCACAATTAGCATAATATAATACTATGAAAATTATTTAATACTATCTGTAGATATATACAAAACATATGTAGATGACGCTATTTATATGATATGTACATAGACATCACAGTATGATTGTTTGTATCTGTCTGGGTGTTTTCTATGTATAATATGTATGTATTTACGAAAAAAATATCTATGTATTTGTATCAGTTATCTAGTGCCAATAACACAAGCATTAGCTAGTTTAACTTGGGTCTAGATGGTGCTGTGTGAATTGTCCTGAGATTATTATTATTATTATATTATCACTATGAAAATTATTTAATACAACTAGTACCCGCGAATTCATCCGCCTGGAATTTAACTTTATTTTCTAAAATAAAAGTAGCCTAAGTTACTCCTTATTACATTAGCTACCTGCCAAAAAAGTCTAATAGATAAAGATAAATAATCTAATAAACAAAGCGATGACGGCACGAAATAGTTAGGTCGTGGCTAGAGTCTATGGTAGCGAAATTAGAAATAAAATAACTCAAACTTATTATTTAATATATATATATGTGGGATTATCATGAGTGAGATTTGAAGAAAAGTCTATATAGTCATAATATTATAATATTAAATTATTTATTTACGTCTTAAAATCGTCTTACATCCTCTTACATCGTTCTGTCAACTCTATTTTTTTTTTCTTTTTTTTAATAAAACTATAATATAAATTAAATGCATAAATCCTCTTTCCACATATATATATATAATGGATTCAATGCGAGTGAAAGCTAGTAAATTACATGTGTGGGAAAATTCTCATACCCCCGACTGCAAATTTACGTAAAAAGGGGTACAAAGTTTATGCTTCTCATATTAATAAAATATATATTGTAGATTAACACCTATAAGACCATAGACAGACAATGAGTGCACGAAATAGTTAGCGGTCGTGGCCAGAGTCTATGGTAGAGAAATTAGCATTAAAATAACTCAAACTGTTCGCTAACTACCTGCCTGCGGTCTCACTTCCATTTAGAAGTTGGGACTGAGCCATTTTCCAGCCATATCGCAATAATAGGTATACATTTTGTGGTCATTATTAGCTATGTTATGGTAAGGAAGTAGAATAGAATAGAATAGAATAGCCTAGATTTAATCTAGAAGTAGAAGAATATAGTAGCATAGAAATAATATTCTTTCATATAAATTTAATACAATTTCAATAGTCATATTTTATTATTATTAATAATAACTAGCTACTTGCCCTGGATTCGCACGGGTGTACATGTGTTTTATATATAAACCTTCCTCTTGAATCTAGTTATTAAAAAAAACCGCTTCGAAATTCGTTGCGTAGTTTTAAAGATTCAAGCATACATAGGGACGGACAGACAGCGACTGCGACTTTGTTTTATACTATGTAATAATAATATTTCACACAGCGGCATCCAGTCCCAAGCTAAAAAGAGCTTGCGTTATGGGTACTACACAACTGATACAAATATATATTTACATTTTTATAATTACATACATATTAAATATAGAAATTACCCAGATCGATACAATCATGCCCATGGCTACAAATATTTGTACCGTGCGAGGAATCGAACCCGCGACCTTCGGAAATAAAGCGGTGTGCTAAACCGCTAGACCACCGAGGCTTTGATTACTTTGATCATTCGACTGTATTCAAAATGGATAGAAAAGTGTGGGCACAACACTGAACTGTATTTTTAAAACAATTTTCTGTTTATTTTGTGTCTGAAATAGAAAACAATCCGACGACCTATCTCATAGTAAGTGGTAACGCTTGCATATATATATATATATATGTACGACGACCTCGGTGGTCTAGCGGTCAAGCTAGTCAGCAAGCTTTACGTCCGATGGTCGCGGGTTGGATTCCTCTCACGGCACAAACATTTGTATATGAATGTTTGTAGCGGTCTGGGTGTTTTCTATGTATAATGTGTATGTATTTACGAAAAAAGAAATCTATGTATTTGTATCAGTTATCTAGTACCCATAACACAAGCTTTAGCTAACTTAACTTGGGTTTAGATGGCGTTGTGGGAATTGTCCTGAAGTAATTATTATTAATTATTGTAATTATATACGAGTCTATGTTGCTAGGCATCATATACTCCTTACTTATAATATTATAAACTAGTTGCGCCTGCGACTTCGTCCGCGTATAATTTAACTTTATTTTTGTAAAATATAAGTAGCCTAAGTTCCGCCTTATACATCAGCTACCTGCCAATAAAAGTCCCGTCAAAATCGGTTCAGCCATTTTAGAGATTAGCCGGAACAAACAGACAGACAGATAAAAATTGTAAAAAATGTTATTTTGGTGTATTTACATCGTATTTATATACATATGCATGTAGTAAAAACCGGTTATTTCAATATTACAAACAGACACTCTAATTTTATTTATATGTATAGATGTGAATATCGGGACGCTAGTACGTAGTGTTATGCTTTCAGGCAAAAACTACTGAACCGTTCATCATGAAATTTTGTGCACATGTTCTTGGAGGTAATATAATGAACTTAGGACATTAATTGTTTAAACAATAAAATATCAACATTTTGCTACTTCAACGTCATCTAGCAATCAGTAATGAACTTAAGCGAGCGAAGCCGCGGGTAAAAGCTAGTTATATATAATCGCGCTCAGCCTTATTCCTTGTACAATCTATAAACTTAAAAAAAAATCATAGATGTTTTAGGTTTATAGAAGAGAAATAGAACACAGAAAATTCTTTATTCAAATAAATTTAAATGAAAGTTCTTTTAAATAGTATTTGTTATTTTTTTTAAAATAAGTAACACTAGATTGAACTTGTTACCACCATAGGACAGTCGCATATCGTTATTCTGATGTCGTACAAATGTTATAAATATTAGTTCACACGACTTTCTGAATAAATTCTACGGTTACTGTGATTAAATCAAATTTATAAACATACGGATACATTATAAAATATATATACAGGATCCATATATTATATGTACTTTATGTGTGTTAAGATTAAAAAATATATTTTGATTAAATACTCGTGCGAAGACAGAGCGGGTCACTAGTAATTAATAACATTATTAATAGTTATAATGAATCATAATAATAATAATGATAATCTTATTATTATAGAAGATGAATTGTCCACACAGCGCCATCTAGACCCAAGTTAAGCTAGCTAAAACTTGTATTATGGATACTAGATAACTGATACAAATACATAGATTTTTTTTGTAAATACATACATATTATAAATAGAAAATACCCAGACCGATACAAACAATCATACTCATGAATACAAATGTTTGTGCCGTGCGAGGAATCGAACCCGCGACCATCGGACGTAAAGCGGTGTGCTAGACCGCTAGACCACAGAGGTGGTCATGAATGAAGTCAAACTTTCCAAATATATATATATAAAGATAGAAGCTCTATCTATCCATAGAAAATATAGTCACTCGGTTTTCTCTGTCTACCCTATATATAATCTGGTATTAAGATTAGCCAGACAGCAAACAAATATGTTCATATAGTCCGTGATTACCTAGTAGGTAAAATTAACCACTGGCCTTCAATATCCAAATTTTCCTTTATGACCCAGCACTAACTAATTAATAATCCATTATTAGCAACTAGGTTGATTATTTAGTGCCATTTGCTATGGCCAGAAACATTTTGTTTCAAAATACCTCCACTGTGCAAATATTTAACGGGAATTATACTCCGCGTTGAATTTCAGGAAACCCCAAACTGCTACGAATCGTGGAGTCGAGTTAAAATGTGCTTGTTCTAAAAACAGGACCAAAGCCAAATGTATGCAATTAATGTGAACATACGTTGTTATGTTCGCGGCGTTTCTTCTATTTTGTAACAGATTTTTGTAGGGCGGAATGTGATTGTTAGTACTGGGAAGTAGTAATGCTCATTGCTAGCAATGTACCATGTCAGGTCGACTTCGACACGGTTTCTTCTGGAAACCGTCGTGAATTTACCACGATGCGCTAACTGACGTGCCCTCATGCTCATCCTGTCATCCTCCACTAGTGCCCCGCCAGAGTAAACCGTTAGCGCAGGCGGGTGAACCATACCATTATAAATAAAGCGCTTTAAGTAGGCATTTCTTGTATCAGGGTTTGATTAGATATTTTCTTGATAAGTTGTTTGATCAAGCAGCCGTCTTCGTAAATTATGTACCACCAGTAAGAAAGTTGAGAAATCACAATCATTCACAAATTTCAGGATTTGGAAATAGGACGTCTTGGAGTCACTTCCACAGGAATGGCAAATAAATGACGCCATATATTCTCTGATGCTTATATTCTGTTAGCTAATTTGCCATGTTAAGTACAGAATAAACCGTAATGAACCTGACAAGATGGTCAGTTCAATTAATGTTATATTACATATATTGAAGTGCATTTTCAAACCAAAATATCTTTATTCATGTAGGTCTATCACTTATGATATGTCAAATCTACCGTTAGTTTGGAGTGCTTTTGAGTTAAGAAGAAATGTCAAGAAACTCAAGTAATTTTCAAGGGTCTTTTCAAATGAGGTTTGAATAGAATGCGTTCCATTATTTCCCTCATTTTAGTAATCATGTAGATTACAAAAATACAGATTCACTTTGAAATTGAATTAGCCAGAATAGAGTTACCACCAGTGAGTGTTTCTGTTTGAGGATATAATGTATTAAGAGGTAAGACTATCAGGAGCGGGTGTTAGTAATTATGTCACATTAAATATTTGAAAAATCTGACCGCCACGCTTGTCTGTGCAAAACAGATCCGTATGTTTTCATCATAAACGTGTTTGTTTATTTTATAGCAATGTTTGTGAAGTTTTTAATGTGCGATTCAATAAAATGTCACCAGGGTTACATAGGATTGTGGGGAGTTAATATTTTTTATATTTATTTTTAAACTTATGAACGGACATGAAAGTTGATTTAAAACTACAGTGTAACTACACTCGTTACAATTTCGAGTGAATATATAATTTGGCGTAGTGATTTACTACTTCAACTAAGTTTCCAAAGATCGTGAGTTCGAATATGTTGGACATTAAGAAAGTTTATCGTGTGAATTTATATTTCTGACTCTATATACTTTATTGTTCAGGTTTCAGATTAAATAGTGCCACATACTCAAATGTGTACATAATGACTATTATGCTGAAATACAGGCGTAAGCCTTGTCAAATAACAACTTTGTGAACGCAGCATGTCACTCAAAAATATATGTAACAAAGTTTTTTGCTGTCGGTATGTATCAAACATACCAAATGCAAAAAACTCACATCAGTTAGAAGCACGTCACTCAGGAATAGAATAAAAGTTTTTTGCTGCTGGTAGGTTTGAACTCACTACAGTTGTAATAATTAACCAATAGTCCATGACGGACATAGAATTAATAAAAATACTAATAATTTTGTTTGTTCATTAATTATTAATATTATAATTATTAATATAAAAGCTCATGACGGTTTTTTAATTGGTACATTTAATTGATAAAATTAACAATAATTTTATTCTTACATTAATTATTAATATTTAAACATCAAATATTGACATAAAAATATAAAAGCACTTATAATAATTACAAAACATTAGTATAAAAACGTTCTGTTTATATTAGAAACGTTTGGAGATAAATTTAGTCTATTTTCTTGATATTAATTTGACGTAAGTGCCACCTAAGGCTCTGATGTTGAAGTCATTATTGTGTAGACGAATAGGGTCCGAAGTCCTCTGGCTTTTTACGATTTTGTAGTTCAGTACTATATCGTATAAAAATACTTTCATTTCCAACAGTGCAAACCTAGAAGCTGAAATAAAAAAAGAAATATTGTAATCGCAATATTTTGTAACAAAATCTTAACTAAATTTATTACGTGCTTTAGTAGAATACGTGGAAAATACAGACATAAATAACGATTTTTTCTATACTAATTATTACAGGTGCGGTGCGATACATTGCAATGTATTGCGGTACGATGCGTTCCGTTATTTCTCTAATTTAAAGAGCTTTAGCAAGATGTCGCACTGAAGTTCAACAAACATCGACATATTAGATTCTGACAGATTTTATATGACGCTAGCTGTATCCGCAGTTCACCTGTATGAAATTTATATCCTATGTGTTATTCCGATGTATTACGGTAAAGTTTCATCAAAAATCCGTTCAGTAGTTTTTGCGTGAAAGAGTAATAAACATCTGTTCATCTATACTCACATACTTTCACGTTTATAATATTATTAAGATATTGGTAGTGGAATGGGTCAAATTCGTATAAAAGAATGATGAGAATCGAACAACAAAAATATTTTTTATAGTACCTAGAAATTTAACATAGTCGTACACCGCCATGAGGACTTCCAGGTTTCGGTAAGAATTTGGAAAACTTGATGGAACTTCATCTTCATCGAGATTATGGCAACGAATGCGAAAAGCATTTGGTCAAAAACGTTGCACAACGTAACTAATGATCAGGCCGTACCTAGTACGTGATAATCGACGGTACTTAATGCTGATTTGGATGCCCTGTCGCCCCTGTATGTCCCTTGGCGTGTGGTTCCAGTCAGCGTCACTTTACCTTATCATTGGTAAAATAATCTCTTGTAAGTTACAGCACAAAGCACCGCTTCGCATCGCATCGTATCGAATCGGATCGCATCGCATCGCAACAAATCGAACTGCTGCTATACTATACTGCCTATAGAGATGTCGCCGTAATGGTATATAGTGATGAATGATAAACGAATAACTTACCAATGCAATTTCTTGGTCCCATACCAAAGGGAGTGAATGTGAAAGGTTGAATATTATGCTTGTTATCATCAGAGAAGCGATCAGGATCGAACACTTCCGGTTTCGGGTGATATTTTGGATCCATTTGTATAACGTTTACCATATTGTAGACTATATCGCCAGGATTCAACTGAAAATTTACCCATAAATTAGAAAAATTATCTTCAAAATGAATATTGAGGCTTCCTCTATTTTCTAAAGAATGATAATGATATGGTGCACATGTCTGACAACCACTTAGCATATTTATGGATCACGTGGCTCGTCTTGGAAACCAACCTGATAAATTCCTGATGAATTTATCACGATGGGCTAACTGACCTGACCTCATATTCATCTTATCATCCTCCACTGGTGCCCAGACAATGAATACCGTTAGTGCAGATGGGTGCACAATTATCGATGACTTTGGTCTAGCGGTTTAGCACACCGATTTGCTTGCGATATTTGCACGTGCAAACATTTGTATTCATGAATATGATTGTTTGTATCAGTCTGGCTGTTTTCAATATATATTATGTATGTATTTATTAAAAAAAAAATATCTATGTATTTATTTCAATTGTCTAGTATCCACAACACGAGCTCTGCTTAGTTTGGGACTAGATAACGCTGTGTGAATCGTCCAGGGTTATTGTTATTTATATGGTTAATTGACATTGAAAATTGCTACAAAAGCTGTATTCTAATTACCTTTCCTTTTAGCTTTGCTTACCGTGGGACTAGATGGTGCTGTGTTAATTGTCCAGGGTTAATTATTTATTTATTTATTATTGTCATCCATAAAAAGTATATGTATATAGAAAACACATAAACCGATACAAACAGTATAGGATAAATTCATTGTTACCACTTTTGTTGCCATGTCAAGAGATAGAGTAATCTCTATCTACTCTATCTCTTACTTACTTATGTACTCACCCTGTAAGGCTTTCCTCCCTCTCTAGGTGGGGGTAGTTCGTATGTTTTACTACATACTCTGTCCATAAATATAGCAGGTGACCACTTCCTCAGTGTTTCTGAAAAGTAATTCAGATTGTCTGTGTTGTTGTTTAAGGATAAACTAGCCTTTGCCAGCGGCTTCGCTCGCGGTAATTTATCCCCTAAGGAGTGGAATTTATCAAAATCCTTTCTTAGGGGAGGCCTACGTCATAGTAACTTCATGCATGCAAAGTCTCAGCCCGATCGGTTTAAAATTGACAAAGTTTCATATAAACTTTCATCCCCTATTTTATCCCTTTGGGGGTAGAATTAATCAAAATCCTTTCTTAGCGGATGCCTACGTCATAACATCTACCCGTATGCCAAATTTCAGCCCGATCCAGTGGTTTGGGCTGTGCGCTGATAGATCACAACGTCAGTCACCTTTGAGTTATATATATTTAGATAACTATCTACCCGCCCGGCTTCGCACGGGTGTACCTACACGGGTGTTATTATACATATAAACCTTTTTCTTAAATCACACTATCTAATGCTAAAAACTTCGTTAGAAAAAGTTTTGTACTTTCAAAGATCTAAGTAAACATACAACGGAAGCGACTTCAATTAATAGTGATTCTGTTAAGTTATTGCAAAATTTTTATGTTTACTTGGTTAGTAGAGGACTGTTTAGAACTTAAGTGTTATCAGCCTCGTTGATTGTTTATCGTGTTAATTAACTAATAAAGGCTATAACAGAATAGCAGAGTGTGTGGACTCACTTCCCTCTCTGAGTTATAGACCATTTTGTCTCGTTCATTACTTTTAAATTATATTATAAGCAGGAATTGTATTAGTTTTTATTTGAGACAAATAAAGATTATTATTGTTATCTTTTTTTCTTTTCTTTTATCAGTTTAAACGAAGGTAATACTTACCCATACAGGCCAAGTGTGGGAGTGGTTGCGCTATGTAAAGATATTATTGAGGAAGTCAAGAATTTTCTAGCTACGCTACAGGTATTCAGTATTGTGGCTTTTTGTAAGAGATTTGGTAGGCTAGGGTGAATATTTAGTGTTTGAAGACTATTTTTATTCTTACCTCTCTTTTCACGGCGGACCCAGGTACCAAGGACGGGGCATGCCAAGTCTCTCGTAACGTCATTATTATTATTATTATCTACCTAGAAATAAAGAAGTATTTACCATTGACAACACAGTCCAAATATTTCAACTGGCCCACATTCTCATAAGTTAAAGTTTTATTAGTCTCCTGGAACTCTTTGATCTCCTGGTACAATTTCTCCTGCACCTCAGGATTTACGGCCAACTCGTGGACACACATAGTGATAGCTCCTGCAGAACTCTCAAACCCAGCAGCAAAGAATATGAACACCTGGCCGATTATTTCATCTTCTGTCCATTCTAGAAACGAAAAAAAAGTCATGTCATATAGTACATAATGGTTAAGCATCAAGTAGTTATATCTTTCAATGATGATTCAAATAAATAAATGTTCATAAATACATTTACAGCTTTGCACGGATGTAATATTAATAGTAAAAATAAAAAAAATTTAAAAGATATTTCTGTTCTATTCTCTTCCTCTTCTATTTCCTTCTATACCACGTTGGTGGAGGGCGAGCATATCGCTGTCTCTCAGATAAATTTTTGGTTTGTTATCGATGTTTCTTTTACTGGAGACTAAGTTGAAAATACAAATTATTACATAAAGATTTTTTTGGTATCGACCAGATTTAAACTCACGATCCTTTGAGCGTAATTCAGGGTAGTAAAATACTATGTCACGACCCTCTCAATCAATTGAAAAACATGTTCAATTTAATAATAATATCTTAGGACAATTCACACAGCGCCATCTAGTCCCAAGCTAAGCAGAGCTTCTGTTATGGGTACAAATACATAAATACGTTTTTTGTACATACATACATAATATACACAGAAAACACAGGAATACAAATGTTTGTACCGTGCGAGGAATCCAACCCGCAATCATCAGAGGCAATGTGCTAAACCTCTCCATCACCGAATCCGTCGTAACATACACATGTAGGTATATCTAATAATATCATACATACCACTTGTAACAGTTTTCGGTTTCAAAACCTCCTGTGTAGTTGCGAAACCAACGTCATCCTTTTCGGCATTACCAATGTTTAAAGTACCTTGAATAGTTTCAGAACGAATAGATATTAGTTAAATATTGATATATATAACCAAAATAAAGTTAAATTCCACGCGGACGACGTGGGTGGAGCTAGTCTATACTAATATTATAAAGAGGTAAAGTTTGTATCTTTGTTTGTTCGGGGTAATCTCCGATTCTGCTGATCCGATTTAAAAAAGTGACTGTTAGAAAGGTATGTCTTCTTGGATGGAGTGACAACAAACCAACAACTGATGGACTTACACTTACACGTCCACTTTAGGATCTATTTTCACTCGTTTTCGATATATAAACCAACTTATAAAACATGCGTGCGTTATAAACGCAAATAGAGATGTTATATTCCATAACGCATTAATTGCTACAGTAAAATTTCGAAAACTCCGCCGTGCAGCGCTAGCAAAAATAAAACGACGGGAAGTGCCAAAACGAATAAAATATAAGACCGAGATCTTATATAATTTTTCCTCGCAAGTGTGTTGTATAACGTCGTACGATATACGTATATAACTATACTCGGCTCTATTACGCTATACGTGCGTCTATTACGCTCTCGTATAGTCGTCAGGTTGACCATCACGCGGTCCATCATGTTAAATTTCTGGTGAATTTGCCGAGAGTATAACACAGGCGAGTTCTCCATTCCATTATCATATAATTTCTTCTTTTTTAATAGCTCTGGGGACAAACGAGCTTCCGGCTCACCTGATGGTAAATGATTACCGCTACCCATGAGCAGCCGCAACACAACAAAGAGATTTGAATCCAAGAGCGAATGTACTCTTGGATTCAAATCTCTTTTAAAAAAAATTATGGACAAACCTTTTGTAGCTTCTAGCAGTAACTGGATCATGTCAGGTCGCACCACGTCGTTCTTTTTTCTATAACTCATGGTATTATTAATAGTTCCTTTAAAGAAATTCATGACTTCTTGTGGGAAGAGTTTCATTCCTAATGCCTGAAGAAATAAAAAAAAAATTGAAATAGTACTCGTACATCGATAGATTATTTAATTGATCATTTATCAGCCTCCGCGCTCTAGCGGTTTAGCACACCGCTTTACTTCCGATGGTCGCAGGTTCGATTACTCGCAGGGAACAAATATTTGTATTCAAGAGTATTGTTTATATAGTCTGGTGTTGTCTATGTATTTACAAAATAAATGTATTTATGTATTTATATTAGTTATCTAGTACTCACAAGCTCTGCTTAGTTTGGAACTAGATGACGCTGTGTGAATTGTCCAGGTTTATTCTTAATTATATGATTTTTTGACCTTAAAAATTGATACAAAAGCTGTAACTCTAATTACCTTTCCCAATTTAGGACACTGTGAAGTAATAAATATTACCAGTTTCTGCTTGAAGTTGAAATAGAATAATTTGATGCCCATTTTAAAGAATTCATTCTCTTTTTCTTTGACCGAGTTCACTTGGAGCCCGAAGCCTGCCGATGCAATGACATCGAGAGTGTAACGACGCACCAGATCATCAACGTGGGTCTCATCAGAATTATTATCTAAAAAACAATTAAAAGAATTATTATTTACATATTATCATTGTTTTTTCATTTCAAGACAATTTACACAACGCCATCTAGACCAAAGATAAGCTACCTAAAGCCTGTGTTATGGGTACTAGAGAACTGATACAAATACATTTTTTTTTTCGTAAATACATACATAGAAAACACTCAGACCGACACGAACAATCATACTCATGAATACAAATGTTTGTGCCGTGCGAGGAATCGAACCTGCAACCGTCGGAAATATTCCAGAAAAAAAGAAGCTACTAAATTGCTGCTAAGGGAAATGTTGGTAGCTTTCAAAGTAAAAGTACCGCATTATAAACATCTTAGGTTAACTATAATCTGTCAAAGGGAAATAGGGGATGAAACTTAGTATGAGTAATGAATTATTTCTCAAGTAAAACAACAAACAACAAAACGAAGGGGGGACAAGGCAACACAAAAATGAAAATATGCAACTCTAAGCATAAATTCTGATGTAAATAAAGTTAGAGGCATCTAATTATGCAATTCTAAGTAAAAATCTAACGTAAACAAAGTCAGAGAGTTCCAATTATGCAATTCTAGGCATGCAATTCTATTTATATTCTATTATAGGTAGTATTCTATAATTGTGTACAATTCTAAGCAAATTGTAGAGTAAACAAAGTTAGAGGCATCCGATTTTGCAATTCTAAAGTAAACAAAGTTAGATGCATCCGCTAGTATTCTATATTTGTGTGCTGCGCAGTAAAAGTGAATTGTCGAGGGGGAGTAGCATGACAAGGTCATGATCATTTCAATTCAGTTAGTATCACTATACGGCAGGAATTGTAATTTTTCAATTGATGACGCAGGCGCAGTGTAAAATTTATGAATGTCGGCAGTAGATTTGATTTTTATGTAATTGTGACGGTTAACTATCTGGAGGTAATCGTCGCTTATATACATATTATATATGTATACGATAATATGATGACGGCCTCGATGGTCTAGTTCTGATGGTCGCGGGTTCGATTCCCCTAACGGTGCAAAGATTTGTATTCATGAGTATGATTGTTTGTATCGGTCTGGTTTTCTATTTATATTATGTATGTAATTACAAAAAAATTCTTAGTATTTATGTCAGTTGTCTAGTACAGAAACTAGCTTGGGACTAGAGAGCGCTGTGTTAATTGTCCAGGGTTATTTATTCTTTTATTAGTAGTACTATTTTTTTTTCTCGTACACGTATTGTTGTGAACACATTATCCTATAACATTTTCTAAGTTTTCTGGAAGAAATCTTTTTTAGAGATAAAATCGTCTCTATACTTTTCATTTATATTATTACTCTCATATTTTCCTATAAGTATGTACAATTTTTACATAGTATAAAATGAAGTCGCTTCCGCATTTTCTTCGCTTAGATCTTTTAAACTACGCAACGGATTTTAATACAGTTTTTAGTAATAAATAGAGTGATTCAAAATGAAGATTTATATGTATAATACATATACATCTGTGTGCAGCCGGAGCGGGTAACTCGTAAAGAATAAAGTAAAGAATACATGAACAATTTTACGGATATCACGTTATCAAGTGATACCCGTGATGGTATTTAGTGAAATTATAAATAATAGTTAATTTACCTTTTAAATAATTAACGATGTTGTGACTAACTTCGCTCATAAAAGACATCATGAGTCTCATCTTAGAGCCAGTGAATGCTGGGCTCAGTGTAACACGCATGTCCCGCCATCTATCATCTGAAAAGAAATTAATATTAAAAGATTATCCATTTTTGTTGTCATCCTTATTTTAAAATAAGATAGGTGGTTTGTATTCACACACTTAAACTTAAATTGTAAGTAAGAATAAATTATTTAAAAGAGCAACACACAAGTTTCTTGCTTGTTCTTCTTGTGATGAGACAGCATTCCGAATGAGCGGTAGATTAAAAAAAAAAAAAATGTTATGACTATTCAAAAGTGCCTCAATGTAAGTTTATTTGAATAAATAATTTTCTATTCTATTCTATTCTATAGGGATTTTTAATAATTGGTTTCTTTCAAAAGAAGAGGGATTTTTAGTACTGGGTTCTCTTGTCTTGCCAACAACATAAAGCAGATTGGATAGGTCGACCTGTACATGGTCTCTATTGGAAAACCATCATGGGTTCCTAGTATTTTTTTAGAATGGTTAAGGGATCCGAGGTCTTCTTCATTCTTCACTGATTCTGCCAAAATATCATCCATCACCTGGGATCACCATTCGGTCATCAATAAAAAATGGAATGAAAATCGTATGTACCAAGATTACATGTGCGCTCAGAAGGTTAGATAGATCGAGCATTGTTTGGGAGAGATAGTGTTACTTATGTTACATATGATACATTCCCTATTCTTAAATTGTTGCTTATAAATATTTAAGTTTTTTATCTTTTATACATTCCTCTTTATTTGTTATACGTATGTCATATACAAAAACTATGAAATGGCAAAGGGTTTAACAAATCTTTCATAACTTAACTGCTTTACTTACTCCATAAGCTAAATGACTAACTTTATTTGGCGCCGCCGAACATGGGAAATACATATCAAGTTACTTGCTTATATAATGTAGATATCTAAATGCTATTTTTTTTATTAGTCAAGAATTTTTTATTTCCCCTGGTACTATGTGCTCATAGGCAGTGATCACTTACCATCTGATATGCATCGTATAGAGAAACTCTAAGCTGTAAAAAATACTCGTTCATCACTAAATTGAGTATTCATTTATTATTTGTAGTACCTTTCATCGCGAATAGACTCCCACTGAACAACGGATCAAGGTCCTTATCGAAGAACTCCTTGTGATTTATGAAATGGTCGAAATCTTTTACGGTGATCGCTTTTATTAAGTCTGGATCGCGGATCAAAACTATAGGGGTGGTACCTTCTGCGAGACCGACATATCTGTAGAAAAATAAAACACATTTGGTTGATCATGCAAAATGCATAGATGATTGCAAATGCACAGATAATATTGTCAGCGCTGTGAATTTTAAGATTTTTCTACAAAACATTACTATCGTTTACAAATTCTTCAATTTTATAATATGCTTGTTTACAAAGGAAGAGTATCGACATTTGAAACTTTTTCCAGCAGATTTTCAACAGCTCTGGTAGTTTGTTGTAAAACCTTACGCAATTACGCAATATGAGGTTCCAACCGTAGGAGGAACATGGAGATTAATAATCGTCTCTCTCACCGAGAGAGTTATAGGGGTATGTTATGTCGGGTTAAACTCCACGCAGTTAATAATTTTAAACCATCCATTCATTCATTTCAGTCCGGAAGACGTTCACTGCAGAACAATGGCCTCCCTCAAAAGTCTCCACGACTATCAGTCCAGCGCTGCACGCATACAATGCCTTCCAGCGATCTTGACCAGATCGCCGATCTACCTTGCTGGAGGCCTTACCAAGTTGCCTCTTCCGGTCCGGGGTCACAAGAGGACCTTACTGCCCTAACGGAAATCAGTCCTACGAGCTATATGCCCTGGCCATTTACTCGAATGAAAGTGGTATATTTTTTAATTTCAATCATCATAGTGGCATTCAGTAGAGGGGACTTTAGGCGCGTGCAACTCAATCCAGTAATTTGTTCCGGCGTTCAGCACAGGATCGGCAATAACAGATTTGTATGTTTGTTGATCGTTGAGAGTCGACATAGGATATAAATAGATTTCGCAATTGTATGTACGTTAATTGCATGGCAATAATTGCCCTAAAATAGACACAGAGGCCCTGTATTGAGGCTCATCAAATTTTGATTTGATAAAAATATTAAAAGCCGTTTAGAGAGTTAAGAAAAGAGTAATTTTTGTACAGTAGAGAATTTTTAATTATTATTATATTACATAAATTGATTTTTTAATTGGATATTAAAAAGGATTTTGTCAAAACAATTACATGGACTTTATGACTTTATTTACCATAAAATTATTAATGTTAAGATCCGGTTAATAATATAAATAGTCTCTAATAAGGTTTTTACACGCAAATAACCAGTTTTAAGTAAATGCATTTATTTAGAACAGACTTGTTGTTATAAATCGGTTATTTTTGCTGTACAATAACCTCTACAGCGATATCTGCCGAGCTTGTTGTGTTTTTTAAATATACTGTAATTAGCAAACAATGTCTTAATTTATCTCAGTTAATATTTGTTATTTTAATTGTTTTATATAACCAATTCATATCAAGTCACCTTTTGATTACCGGTCATGTATTATCTCGTGAGTTAAGAAAATATAACGACTTCTATGATTACAATTGACGACGGTGGTCGGGGATTCGATTCCTCGTATGGTACGAGCACATACATTAAATTTCATGAGTGTCATTGTTAGGCGTTGTGCATTAATTCCGATGGTCGCGGGTTCGATTCCTTGCATGGTGCAAACATTTCATTATAATTGTTTGTATTGGTCTGGGTGTTACCTATGTATATTATATATAAAAAAAATGAAGTATTTATATCAGTTGACTAGGGCCCATAATACAAGCTTAGCATGAGACTAGATGGCGCTGTGTGAATGAATTCCCGGGTTTACTGATATTATAATTTTCATTTACGTTTAATTTGAAGTAAAAATATATGGCCAACTATAATGAGAGAATAATAGTAAATAAGATAGGTATACGAGTTCTGATATTGTTCTCGGGGCCCTGGGCTGCCCAAAAAGCCCTTAGGTACGCCCCTGTATATGTATATCTTACAACGATAAGACCCCTTTAAGTAATCCACATTTTACATTTTACATATATATATATAAAATGTACCTTTGTCAAATGTGTAAATGTAATAATGGTTGTAAATAAATGTTTTTCTTTCTATCTTTCTTATTATTATTATAATTTATCTACGGACACTAAACAATCCATACTATACTATTGGCGAAGATTATTAATAGGCATAAAACATTTAATATGATCAGTGACAGGCAAAATTACAAAAAACAGCAATATTCATAATATTAATACTAGATTTAAAGACAAACTTGCTGTCCCCAAGTATCGTTTAGAAAAAGTCAATAGGTCTTTTATGGGAATAGGTACAAAAATTTACAATAAGATACCAAAGGATATATTGGAATTACCCTTAAATAAATTCAAAACATCTGTTAAATCATATTTACTGAGCAAGGCCTATTACTCACTAAACAATTACTTGAATGACGAGCGTGCATGGCAATAGTTTTCATGTTCGGGATTTTCATTTAATGTTAGACATAGACACCTATATAAATACTTATGCATTGTAAATAAACTGGCTTTTAAAAAAAAGTAATTCAATTGAGTTTCTTGCCAGTTCTTCTCAATTGGATCTATATACCGAACTGGACGGTAGGGGAAAAAAATATAATGTAAATACTTGACGTCCATAAGCGGCTAAAATGTCCTACATGAATAAATGATTTTTGAATTTCAATTTGAATTTAAATTACACCGGCATGTTACAATAGTTAATAAAAAGAGCAACACGCAAGTCTCTTACTCGCTCATCGTGTTATGAGAAAGTTTTCTGAATGAGCAATAAATTTAAAATTAATATAACTATTCAAGAGTGCTTAAATGTAAGTTTATTTGAATGGATGACTTCTATTCTTTTCTATCTTTGTGTAGATAAATAAATAGATAATTATTTATTTATTGATAAACATATCAAAACCGTATCATAACCCATAAATATATTATGCAACGGTCCACATGACGGAAATAGGTAATCTTCTATGTATTTATATCTGTTAGAATATAAATATAAAATATAAGTATATAGGTTTTTCTGGCAAAACCTATATATTTATATTCTATTTGTATATAGGTTATGACTTTGTCATGGGTAACTAGTTCGAAATTATCTAATTAAAAACCAATAATATGAGATAACAAAAGGAAAATATAAAAACTTACTTCTCGTCCGGAAAAGCTCTGTATACAGTATCTAAATCTTCAATGAAATGTTTCTTCGTAATAAAACTGTAATACATATTCCCAAATAACGGTATTCCAGGCAGGAATTTAACACCTTTCTGTCTAAAGAAGTAGTGTATCTTCTTATAAACATATAAATAATAAAACAATAGGGTTGTAATTAGGAATATTACAAGTTCTGCAATCATTTTGTTAGAGTACTCTCCGTTGACGCTTTTGATAGTTAAATGACGAACAAATTGCTCCCGCTGTTGATGTTTCTAAAATTGTTATGATTCAGTAAGTAGTGTGACTATCTATCGTGGTTTGGGTGGGACAGTCTTGTTTTAATGCCGTCTGGTCAGAGCATAAATACTGGTTTATGAATTTTTAACGATCATTTACAATTCACGGTAAATTTACCGTTTGTATAGTATTCTATATATTGTATAAACGTTAAATTTCCGGCGTTTGTAACAATTTCGGAATGGCCTTTATATCATCATCATCATCGCAGCCCGGAAGGCGTCTACTGCTGGACATAGGCCTCCCCCAAAGATCTCCACGACGATCGGTCCCGCGCTGCTCGAATCCAATACCTTCCAGCGATCTTGACCAGATCGTCGGTCCACCTTGCTGGAGGCCTTCCCACGCTGCGTCTTCCGGTCCGTGGTCGCCACTCGAGGACTTTACTGCCCTAACGGCCATCTGTCCTACGAGCTATGTGCCCTGCCCATTGCCACTTCAGAGTCGCAATTCTTCGGGCTATGTCGGTCACTCTGGTTTTTCTGCGGATCTCCTCATTTCTGATTCGATCACGCAGAGTAACTCCGAACATAGCCCTCTCCTTTCCCCTGTGAGTGACTCTGAGCTTGTTGATGGGGCCCATAGTTAGCGACCACGTCTCTGTTCCATAAGTCATCACTGGCAACACACATTGGTCGTAAACCTTCGTCTTGAGACACTGCGGAAATTTGGACGAAAAGATATATCGGAGCTTCCCGAACGCTGCCCATCCGAGTTGAAGTCGCCTTTATATAATTGGTTTATAATATCGTTTGGTAAAAAAAATGTGTAAATTAAAAAAAAACAAGTGAACCCAATTTTATATCTGAGTCCAACCGCTGAATCAACCTCTTTAAGAACATGTTGGTACCATATGATGGCTAATTCAGCTACCTTGCGTGGTCGTTCGGTTTACATATAAAAAATCTACTCTTACATATATATATAAGAACTGATATTCTTCTCAGTACTTCTTAGCTCGGAAGCAGTCCGTATCATTTATGGTAGATTTGACATGTAGGTCTAAATCAAAATAAAAATTCAAAGTATATTTTTATACATAGGTGTCTATTACAGTCTCTTAGGACATGTTATAAGGTCTGTAACAGACCTACATGTAACAATATATTTTGATTTTTATAACAAACCACACACGCTTCCCCGACTTCCTATTCACACCTCTATCCCTTTAAGAAGTCGCACGCACACATTACGGAGAGCGGAAAGAGGTTACATATCAAAAATAAATACAAGAGTAGCTAAAAATTAAGAATAACACTAGAATATTATTCTAATATTTTAGTTAGGTGTCCCACTTTGTTAAGAAAAATAAATTGTCACATTAGTCACGGATAACTGTATTGGTGTTGTCCTTTATTATACCTTGACCCTTGGTTACGTCATGTGGCTTAGAATAGAGACCTACAATGTAAACAAATATATTTTTTTTTCAATTTTGTTCATGTCTTTTATGTTGGTGCAATAAAGTGTCATAAAGAAATACAAAATAAATAATATTTTTCAGACTACTCTAATGCTGTTGGCCGCAGCTGGCCTTTACAGCTTCACCGGATGATAGCGGGCGAGTGCAGATGGCACTCCAAACCCGCGGAAGGACTTATGGAGCGGCTGAAGGCCACTTCCGCCTACGATATGACTTTAGTCTGAGGGCACCGCTTGGAGTTTGAACCACAGCTCAGGCCGTCGTAATTTCGATCTCCGTTTGAATTGGACGGGGTATCAATCGGAGGGTACTTAATTTCGTATTAACTAGCTTTCACGAATTTGAAGTTATACAACGCGTACATGGAAATCTTAGGGTTAATATTTTGCTATAAAATATATATTTAGAAAAAATGTTTAAGTACGTCTATCAGTTGTCTGGTACCTAGTATCTTCATCATCATCATCTCAGCCCGGAAGACGTCCACTGCTGAAAGGCCTCCCCCAAAGTTCTCCACGTATCTTCTTATAGTTGCTGAATTTTTCTTTGGTGACACTACTAGTTTTGTTAAAATGCTATGAAGGTAATTTTTTTATTTTTTGCATATTTATAGCTAAGCGTGTATTTATTTCTGCTCTTCCCTATAGTTGTCTGGTACAGAATGCTATATCATTATGTCCCTTTGTACCATATTTTATTGGTCAATATAGTAATTTTTTTTATTGGATATTTTCAAAAAGGTTATATTAAGGTTTCTTAAAGGTCGGCAACGCGCACGTGACACCCCTGGTGTTTCTGGCGTCCATAGGCTACGGTAACCATTTACCATCATATGGGCCGTATGCTTGTTTGCCACCATAGTAGTATAAAAAAAACTGCTTAAACTTTAAAATGCGTTCTTATACTTATTATAATAAAGTAGATAGATAGATAGATGATTTATTTGCTTGAACATTAGTGTAGATACAAGTGTTTAGGTACAAATGTTAGTCTCATATTCAGGAGGTATGCAAAATTACAATTATTCTTAACTAGATGAGCCCGCAACCTCGTAAATTATTGATCGTGTAAATTATTAATACTTCCATGTAACCTTACATCTTCACTTTCAACCCCTTACAATCCTTTCTTAATTTTAGATTCAGATTAAATAGTAGCCTATGTCCTTTCTCAGGTTCTGACAATCTGTCTACCAAATTTCTTTTAAATCGGTACTTAAGTTTTGGTGTGAAAGCGAGATAGATAGACAGACAGAGTTGCTTTCGCATTATAACATTAGTAAGGATAACTTACAAATTTATAAGAAAATTAAATGTTAAGTCAATTCTCGCAAATATATGAAAGAAAGAAAAGAAAAAAAATTGTTTATTTGGTACACTGAAAATAATTTTTAAATTTTTATTTACATTTCATCGGTTCATTTTAATACAGCAATGTGATACAGAATACAATTGTTTTTAATTCTACTCAGTTAATACAATTTTTCTTACATACTTACTCTATTTGATAATACAATCTTCTTTAATATTAGTACATTTATATTCTTAATTTTATAGAGTATTAGCTGTGCTCGCGATGTCACCCGCGTTAAAGTTCAATAAAAAATATAGCCCATATATTATGTTATTCTAATGCATAAGCTACATTACTGAAAAATTTAATCAAAATCCGTGCAGTAGTTTTTACATGAAAGAGTAACAAACATCCATACTCACAAACTTTCGCGTTTATAATATTATTAAGATATAATACACAAATAACTATAATATAGCAATAAATTTTAAACTTAATGTCTCAATTCGAATTTGACGTATGTGCCACCAAAGATCTTGATGCGAAAGTCATCTCTCTTGAGACGCGCAGGGTCCTTTGTATTTGCACTTTTTACGATCCTGTAGTTCAACACCAGATCGTATAAGATCACTTTTATCTCCAGTAGTGCAAATCTTGAAGCTGTAACAATAAAACAACAAATGAAGAGAAAAAAGAAATAAGTGTAAATTTTATATATTACTAGTTGATTCGGTAAACGTTGTTTTGTGATATACATTAATATCGCTATTAAAAATCAGGGGTAGGTGGTAGAAGGGTGGAAATTTAGGGAGTAAATATTTTTAATGCAGCTTCTAAAAAAAAATTTGGGGTGTGGGAGCTTGTTAAATTAATTTCACAATTATCTTATGGGTTACTGCATTAAGAATAACAAATATGTATTATAAATAATAAAAATAACCAAATACAGTTCACGCGGCGCCAAGTTACGGAGAGTTTGTGTTATAGGTACTAAACAACACTATAGAATGAATATATAAATAAACAACTGTTATACATATTTATATACTTCAATACTTTTTAATCATACTCATGAATACAGATATTGCACTGCGACGAATCGAACCTGCGACTATCGGAAGTAAAGCGATGTGTTAAACTGCTATATCTAAATATTACTGTAGAATATTATAACTACCATTTAAAATTTTGTGCTAAGTTTGTTTAATATACTCAGATGATTTGCTACCTATATGTGCACGTACTGTTCAAGAAGGGAGATCAAAACACGTTTCCTACTTTTCAAAAACTTACCAATACAATTTCTCGGTCCCATTCCGAAGGGCATGAAAGTGAACGGTGTTATTTTGTGTTTATTCTCATCAGAGAACCGATCCGGATCAAATGCATGAGGTCTGGGGTGGTATTGTTCATCCATGTGAATAACATTCACCATATTGTAAACAATGTCACCCGGGTTCAACTGACAAACAAATTTACAAATAATTATTTGTCTTGTTCTTCATCCAGCCTAAAATTGTCAAGATCCTTTTAGAAGTCTTTAAGATCTACCATTACAGGACTCTTAATAGAATAAAAAAATAAATGACTATTCAAAACTGCTTGTATTGAGTTTATTTGATTAAATATTAATTTCTATTCCTTAAAACATCTGCAGCAATGTCAACAGTCAAAGAAATCTGAATTTAATTACTTATAAATGGTTCCCTTAACACTTTTTTGTGAAGATCACGTCAAAATTGTCCAGCCACTTTCAGAGATTAGCAAGAACAAACAGACAAACAGATAGACCGCCAATTTTTAAATACTTGTTGTAGGTACTGTACTGTCATATGTATTTAGAGAAAAGTTGTTAATCCGAAATTACAACCAGACACTTTAATGCTATTTATTTGTTTAGATGAGATTCCACGCAGAGGATAATTTAAACCATTTTTGACCAATTTTAATCAGAATCGGAATTTAATCGAAGTTTGCCGAATTCAATGTTGACTGTATTATTAACAAGTTTAATGCCACAATAAAAGTGTGACAGAAGAATGTAAATGAATTTGTGTCCTAATTTCACCGTAATAAAGATTATTTTAAGAGTATCATTGAATCTTGTCTTTCTGTATGGATACTTACACGGTAAGGCTTTCCTCCTTCTCTAGGTGATGGTAGCTCGTAAGGTTTAGTGCATACCCTGTCCATAAAAATGGATGGTGGCCATTTCCTCAATGTTTCTGTAATGGTAATAAAGTTTGTTTATATTACATACATATATTTTATATACTACGATGGTAGCAAACAAGCATACGGCCCATCTGATGGTAAATGGTTACCGAAGGCTATGGACGCCTCGGGTACTTTTTAAGATGAAATATTGAAAAGGCGTCGCAATAATATATTATATAATATCCCTAGACAAATTACACAGATCCATCTAGTCAAGCTATGCAGATCTTGTATTATGGGTACTATGGGTACAACTGATTGAAATAGAAATGTTTAGAGGAATCGCACCAGCGACCATTGGCGGCATGATAAACCGCTAAACCACTGACGCCGAATTGTAAAATACTATAAAAAATAATTATATAGTATAAAACAAAGTCGCTGTCGATGTCATATAAATAGATAGTGTGATATAAAAGGAAGGTTTATAAGTATAATACATGTACACTCGTGCGAAGCCAGGGTAGGTAGCTAGTAATTAATATATAAAATAACAAAGTTTATTCAAAGTCAAATAACAGATAAAAATTCGAGTCTACCACTCGAACTTTGCAAGTAGGCTATGAAGAATATTTATCGTGTGCAGAAAATATTATAGAATAAATTGCCTTATCTTCAAATTATGAAGTTACTATAACTTTTATGCGTTCTTAAGTATATTTTCTAGATGAAATGAAAAAAAATACCATTAACTACACAATCCAAATACTTCAACTGGCCCACATTCTCGTACGATAAAGTTTTGTTATTCTCTTCAAATTCCTTGATCTCCTGGTACAATTTTTCTTGGACTCCTGGATTTATGGCCAATTCGTGGACAGATGCAGTTATAGCTCCTGCAACACTGTCAAAGCCAGCCGCGAAGAATGCAAACAATTGGCTCATTATTTCATCTTCAGTCCATTCTAGAATTGTAAAAGGCAAATACACAAATCATCGCCATTGTTTAATTTATCTGCAAGTAGAGAATTTTATACATTTGCGACACTAAAGTAGCATCGTCAATAACACCGTAATATTATATTACATACCCGTTACTATAAATTCCTAAATTCGGGAATGATGAATATATAACTGACAAGAATCGCGAGATCGAACACCAGCCGATCTACACGGAGATATTAAATTGGTTCAAATTTGAGGATATCCTTCAATTTTGAGGTGAGTTTTGTAGTGATAAGTTTTAATTTTAATTTATTAAGTACAATTACAAAGGTGATTTGACGATCAGCAATAACAAAATATATTTCGGAAGTCTTGATCCAGCCACCTCACGAGGGTGACAAATAGGTAACGAAATTGCTAAAATTTTACCGAATACATCGTACACACACACCATATTTTCAAGTAATTTTCTTTTAATATTATTATATATTGTTATAATATCGAGATTGCTTAGCCTAATTTAAATTATTGCTTCAAATAAACATAATTCTGTTGTACATATTTTAATTTTATTATTACTTACTTCTTATACCACCTCGAGGTTTTAAGACTTCGTCTGTCGTAGCAAATCCAATATCATCTTTCTCTGCTTGTGTAGCTTTCAACGTACCTTTAACAATATGCTAATAGATTTATACATTAAATTTGACTCGAAAAATGTTGTATTTGGTATAATGCAAACGATTTCAGGTATATATTACCTACCGCTTTGTATAGTCTTATCTGTTGAAACAATGTTGATTATTTATTTGGGTGTTTTATTTATATATTGAAAATCACTAGAATCAAGTTCAAATAAAATATTTTGGCTCTTTGTTTTATCTTTGTTTACTTTAATGTTTATCTTGTCTGTATCTTCTGTACACATACCTTTATAAGCTTCTAGTAGTAGATGAATCATGTCTGGACGTACTATATTGTTAATTTCTCTGTCATTAATAGTATACGCAATAGTGTTTTTAAAATAAGACATCGTTTCTTCTGATAGTATTTTCCATCCTAATTTCTGCAAAAAAGAATCTATTTGGGGTTATGTCTTTTAATATAATCGTGGAAAGGTCGAGACGGACAACAAATATAATCAAATATAAATCTGAATTAAGATTTCGTTTACTGATTTCTTATTTATTTAGGTACGTATACTAGATATTAACATGTAAGAGAGGCCTGACTTTGTAACTTTATGAATGATTCATGTACTTATACGTTACTTTTGTTCCACTTCGAAAAATAGATGGTTGTCATTTCTACCATTTTTTTGCATGTGTACATTTAACACTAGTGGCTTCACAAAGTAAATTATCAACATCATTATTTCATCATTTAGTCAAAAAGATCTATTATTATCAAAACACATTTTGTTTTCTTCGACTTAGATTTTTTTAGATGTTCAACATTCTTTATAGCTTTTTTTACCATAATTTATTACCTTGCTAAGTTTTGGGTACTGCGAAGCTATAAACATTGCCAGTTTCTGCTTTAAACCAGGAATAAATAACTTATTGCTCATTTTGAAAAATTCGTTGTCTTTTTCTTTGACTGAGTTCACTTGGAGCCCGAAGCCTGCTGATGCGATGACATCGAGGGTGTAACGACGCGTTAGGTCATCTATGTGGATTTCTTCAGAAACATGATCTATGAAACAGTGAAGTAGTAATAATAATTTATTGTCAGACATGGTACATTCTGATTGTAATAATTACTTAAACAATGTTAGTAAAATAGTGGGACAACTCTTTAACGTATCACCTGTCCCACCCAGTACCTCAGAATGGGACAGTCTATTTGACAAACAATTGCCTTCAGGACACTGTTGGAACTTGCCAGAGCTCTGCCTAATAGAGTGGTTATGGGGGAGGGAATTGTTAGTAATGTGAACTAGTAACTCCCTTTGCTAGAAATGTACCAAGTTAGGTCGACCTCCACGCGGTTTCCCTAGGAAACTATCGTAATAAATTCTTGGTGAATTTGTCACGATGGGCTAACTGACCTGACCTCATACTCATCTTATCATCCTCCATTGGTGCCCCGCCAGCGTAAACCGTTAGCGCAGATGGGTGCACCATTCCATTATCATAAAAAAAAATAGGAATGTTATTCGTATGTATGGTATATGGCATAGAAGTTATGCGCTCTTACGCGTGTGTGATGCGCTTCAATACAGTTAGATTCTAAGTTCTACTGTTGTCTCTACTACAAGATGATGTCTAATTTGACAATCTCTCTGTAATATTACTAAATATTTTGGTGCCTTACCTTTTATGTAATCGATTATGTTATAGCTAACTTGACTCATGAAATTCATCATCAATCTCATCTTAGAACCGGTGAACGCTGGGCTCAAAGTTACACGCATGTCTCGCCATTTGTCACCTGTCGTAATGGGGTATAATTAATACTAGTTGTAGACCAGTGGTCGATATTCGATCATAATTAACTTATATTATTATGGTTCTATTGTCTAAGGCTATTAAGCTTCTATTGTCTAAGAGTATAATTCTATGTGTGTGTGTCAAATATATGGTAGTGTGTGTAATATATTTTTTAATGATTTAATATATTTTTATGCTAATTTAAAAATAATATTAGTGTTCACCACACTTTCTCTAAATATAAGCGTGAGAAATTTCACACTCCGTTCGCCCAATTTTCGTAAAAGAAGGTACCAAGTTTTTGTTTCACGTGTAATATCACTATCATAAAAATAATACTAGATGTTTATATTTAGATACAATTATTATATATTTAGATTACATTTTTAATTATGCATAAAAAATACATTAAATCAATAAAAAAAAAGCAATAGAGTTACTACCATGTATTTGACACAGACATATAGAAGTTTAGGTTTGGACAATAGAAGCTAATAATGTTTAAATCAATTAAATGAAATAAAATTATCTTTATTCGTGTAGGTATATTACTATGATATGTCAGATCTACTGTCAGGTCGGAATGATTTTGAGATGAGAAGAACTGACAAGAAACTCAGTTCGTATTCTTTTCAAATATGGTTGTATATATTTACAATAATACAGATTCATTTTTAAATTCAATTTTGGTAGAATAGAATCTGAATAGGATAGAATCTGGTGGTCAGCATATGCTATAATTTAAATTAATTATGATCCAATGGCCATTGGATGACCACTGGTTTATATGAATACGTACCTTTCATCATGAAAAGACTTCCACCAATCAATGGATCTGTGTCCTCATCGAAGAATTGTTTGTGGTTGACAAAATAGTCGAAATCTTTAATTGTGATTATTTTTATCAATTCAGGGTCACGGATCAAAACTATCGGCGCACAACCTTCGATGAGGCCGACATACCTGTAATTATTCTTGTTTATATTACTTGATTTTGTTTGCCGTGTGTAATAAATAATAAAATGATCTAAAAGGTATATGAACGGGAAAGGTATGGTTAAAAATCTTAATAAATTGACAATGAACTAAAATAATTGTTTCAGTCATAGTGACTCTACTCGCGATGTTAAGAACAATTACTTTACCTCTAAGAACAATTCAAAGAAAATACAAGACCAGACTTCATTATAATTCTAGTTTGACTATTTTTCTATAACTTACTTCTTATATAATATTATATACGTGAAAGTTTGTAAGTATGGACAGATGGACATTTGTTATTCTTTCACGCAAAAACTACTGAACGGATTGTAATGAAACGTTACAGTAATATAGTTTATACATCAGAATTACATTTAATTTACAGACTATAAAATTTATTTTATTTAAAAATTTGACGACCTCGGTGGTCTAGTGGTATAGCACACCGCTTTACGTCCGATGTCGCGGGTTCGATTCCTCGCACGGCACAAACATTTGTATTCATTAGTATGATTGTTTGTATTCATGTATAATATGTATGATTGAAAAAATAATTATATTTTATCGGTCTGGCTTTAGTGCTTAACTTGGGACTTTTGTATGTATAATTAAATGTTATGAATATTTTGACATTGAATATAAATAGTCACCGAGTATAAGTGTTATGCTCTTATTATTAGAAAATTAGTAGATTTAAATGAAACAATACCAGCTTGTAGAAAAATAGTACTAAAATGTTATTTATATAATAATATAGCAATTTATGAAGTCAGTAATTTCATTATTGACAAACCGGTAAATAGTGATAAATTTACAAGTGATAATGTAAACATATTAAACAAAAATAACTCACTTCTCATTCGGGAAAGCTTTGTACACAGTTTCCAAATCTTCTATGTAATGTTTCTTTCCAAATGTACTATCATACATATTACCAAATATAGGCACACCAGGTAAGAACTTAACATCTTTGTTTCTAAAGAAATAGTGGATTTTCTTATATACGTATATGTAATAAAATAATAAAGTGGTTATTATGAATATTATTAGTTCAGCAAACATTTTATATGAGTACTTGTCTTGGTCGGTTTTGATAGGGGAATGGCGATGTAACGCTAGTGACCTTCTACTAGTGATATCAATTCTAATTGAATCACACATACCGATGTATCTAGTTTAGTTCATGTATATCTATATATATGTATATATATTTCGTAGCAACTCTTTCGAAATTTAAAAACATGGTTAACATATATTTTGTCGTCACCATCATGTCATACTACAATATGTTCTATATCTATACATATAAATAACATTGGAGTGTCTGTTTGTAATATTGAAATAACCGTTTTTACTACATGCATATGAATATAAATACGGTACATACCTACACCAAAATAACATTTTTTACAATTTTTGTCTGTCGGCCTGTTTCTTCCGGCTAATCTCTGAAATGGCTAAACCGATTTTGATGGGACTTTTATTAGCAGGTAGCTGATATAATAAGGAGTAACTTAGGCTACTTTTATTTTAGAAACATAAAGTTAAATTCTACGCGGACGAAGTTGCGGGCTAGTCTATATAGCTAGTATATATTTTATTGAATTAAGTAATATTTTGAGGATAATTTCATTAGTTAATACATTTATATTATTTTGTTTAATTCCGCAATCATTAGAATGAGTGAGACTACAAATATTTATTTCGGTAATCTGACCGCTCCTAGAAGAGATCTTCCCTGTTACTGATAAAATTCCGACCCTTATTAGATGTACACCCATATTACGATACGTGTTTTGCCTCGTTTAGGCGGCAGGCATCATCAGGCAATGAATAGAGTTCAGCTATAGCATGGACGCGTAGTGTTAACTGGTCAGCGAACCAGGTGACGACTAAAACAAACTAATAAAATAACTGTTTCGTTTTAATATTCTGTTATATACTATACTGACTATTCAGAATAGTATTTTTTATTCTTAATTGGTATTTAAATCTATAGTTCCTTTATGTAGTACATTTTTCGTTTACACTTCAATGTTTTGATAATCATTTCTAATATATATCTTCGTATTTCAAGTGGTTTTCTGTATTTTATTTTTACTTATATATATATACATATGTAAAATAACACTACAATATATTCTAAAATGTTGTCTATGTCTGGCCATTACAGCTATACTAATGAACATTGGGGTGAGTGCAGAAGGAACTCCAAAGGCCTGAAAAGATTTACAGAGCGATTAAAGACCTATTCCTTCTAGACAAATACGACTTAAGTCTGAGGGCACCGAAGTTGGTACCTTAGTTTAGGACATTGGAATTTCCGTTAGAATGGGACCTGTCCCAGTGGCGTTTGTTATAACATTATAATCCCAGGGGATTAATCAAACGATTACGCTAATTAGCGTACCCTTTTGATTAATCCCACAAAATAAGAGATAACAAAACGCCACTGTAAAAGACAGTGGCGTTTTGTTATCTCTTATTTTGTGAAGCTCTTTATTCGCATCGTCTTTCCTTAAGAGAGGAACTCTCTCCCTGTATCAGTGTGTTCTCACACATGCTAATAGTGGCTGAATTAAATAAAATAATAGAAATCCAGTAATTCTGTTTATCTTTACTTTCTCTATCCAACCAAAAGTCGCATGGAAGAAATTGCTTGACGATAAGACCGAGTTTTGTATCAGTTAATGTATATTTACTATTTTAATTATTTTCTGTATCTGGTACAATAAAGAGCGTAAATAAAATAAATAAAGAAAAATTATTATTTTTATTATACACCATATCGTACAAGAATAAAATTTATAAAAACAATTAACTGTATATAGACAAGCAGGCTTATCACTAAAAGAGATGTCTTTCAATCAACATAGCTAATCTTCATTTACTAAATCCTTACATTACCATCTCAGCCCGGGAAACGTCCACTGCTGGACACAGGCCTCCCCCAAAGATCTCCATGACGATCGGTCCTGTGCTGCACGCATCCAATACCTTCCAGCGATCCGGTCCACCTTACTGGAGGCCTTCCCAAGCTGCATCTTCTGGTCCGTGGCCGCCACTCGAGCATTTTATTGCCCCAATAGCCATCTGTCCTATGAGCTATGTGCCCTGCACATTGCCACTTCAGTGTCGCAATTCTTCGGGCTATGTTGGTCACTCTGGTTCTTCTGCGGACCTCATCATTTCTGATTCGATCACACAGAGAAACTCTGAGAATAGCCCTCTCCATTCCAGACTCTGAGCTTCTTCATGAGGCCCTTAATTGGCGACCTATTAAATTCTTACATAGTATAAAACAAAGTTGCCGTCGCTGTTCGCGTATATCTTTTAAATTACGCAACGGATTTTAATGTGGTTTGCAGTAATAGATAGCGTAATTCAAGAGGAAGATTTATATGTATAATAAATGTATGTTATAGTATAGAATATGCCGAGAAATGAAAGATTTGTACTGCATCCGTGCGAAACAGATACGGGTCGCTAGTATCTAATAAAGAAAGAAGAAAGAAGAAGAAAGAAAAATATTTTATTCAGTGCAATGTAAAAATACAATATTTATTGTATGTAAAAAATATAATAAAAATATTCTTTACATACAAATCATACAATATTCTTAATATCTAATCAGTAGAATAATACATTTGTAAAAATAAACCATAAAATAAATATGTCACGTCAATGTAGCGCTATGGCGATAAAGAATTATTGATATGATGGATTATTTCATTTAATCAATTGTTGTTGTTGCTATTTTAAACTAAATTGTATTGACAAATTAGTAGTAATAGTGTAACCATGACTATGTAATACGACTTTAATTTAGGATATCAAATTTTAAATTGTGATTAGGAATGTCTAGCAATATTAATAAAGAGTTGTTGACATGATGGATTATTTAATTGAATCAACATTGTTGCTATTTTAAACTAAAATATATTGATAAAATAGTAATAATTGTCATTATGACTATGTAAAAACACAATCCGTCAAAGTCACTGTTCTTTTATAAGTATTCGTCTTTAATTTAGTGTTTCAAGTTTTAAATTGTGATTAGGAATGTCTAGTAATATTAATAAAGAGTTGTTGACATGATGGATTATTTAATTTAATAAATTGTTGTTGTTGCTATTTTAAACTAAATTATATAACCAGTCAAAGTCGCTATTCCTTTATAACTATTCGTCTTTAATTTAGGATGTCAAATTTTAAGTAGTGATTAGGAAGGTCTAGCAAAGTCAATGTCTCGCAACATGGCGATAAAGAATTATTGATATGATGGATTATTTAATTTAATCAATTGTTGTTGTTGCTATTTTAAACTAAATTATATTGATAAATAAGTAATTGTCGGCGCACAACACTAGCGATCGGCTCGCTGTAGGTCCAATCCGGTTGAGGTTGGCTCGCCTGTACCCTTTTCGACGTCCACTACATATGACGTGCGCATAAAATTTACTTGTAACCTTTTTAAAATATAATCATTTAAAATTGGAGTCAGATTATCATTCATATCCACCTCGGAACATGGTGACCACGACGTGATTTTCAAGATATCAATGAATATAAAGTAATATTGCTTGAAGCCAGCCGGTCAACAGTATTAATAAAACACCGCAGCTAACGCTTAGCAAGAAGAATATTTATCTACCTCAAAATTACATGGGAATATATTGAAGAAATTTATATATCTGTTTCTGGAGAAGCTAGTTACAACGACTATAAAATACATCAACAATTACGGAAGGCTATCCACCAATTGCTTAAAGCCAGCCGGTCCACCAGCAGACTACGAGCAGCGCCGCAGCCACAGCTTAGCAAGGGAAGTGCCTTATCCTATCTTTCCTACCTAATATTATTGTAATCATTCTGCCTCAATTTGCTTTTAGTTGCCACTTCTTAATTAGTGATTTTTTTCCATATAAGTTGATTACGTAGATTTAATTTCTATTCTTTTTTTTGAGTCTATTAAATTAGGGGTACCTAATACTATTTAGTATACCTGTAGTTATTAGCACATTATATAAAAGCTTATCTATTAATTGTAAGCTAAACATTTCAATAGTTGATCGTACAAACGTTCGTACATTCTTTATATTATTTTATCATAACTACCTACGATCTCAACTTAGAAACGTAGAAGTCGATTAAAATAGATAATTGTAACACTATTATAGTGAATAACCAATAGAATAGAATAGATGCAATTGTATACTAATGTATATAGTATAACAATAGTAGATATAATAATTAAGTAAAACATATAAAAGATATCTAAATCCCTAAGTAGAAAATTAATTTAGTAGTAGTAAATTATTTTAGTAGCTTTGTTTTATTGTATCTGTCTATTTGAGTATTATTTAGTTAGAATATAGATTGTTGCATATTTGATTATTAGTGTAGCACAAATACTTTAGTGAGATAATTATATCACATTCAAGTAGTTAGTTATTTCATTGTAATTTTATTACTATTCACTATGAAGTAATAATAAATATTATAAATGCAATATTAACATTTTATGTTTGGTACATTTTTATAACATTTGCAATATTTACACATTCCAGTGCGCCAGCGCAGTTGCAATAAGTACCTACCGCTTACCTGGCTGCTGCGCTCGCATCGCCCGGCCCTATTGTTTTCGTGCGTCGAGTGATCTATTACGTCATCGTCATAGGCCGGCTTGGTTACATTTACGTATCATTTATTTTATTTTTCTTTTCGTATATTTTTAGTTTATCATAGTCAATCATTTTTAAGTTTATTTAGTAAATTGTTTAAGTGATATTTATAATGTCACACACCTCAGATCGATCTGTGAGAACACCTTTAGAGAACATTAAATTAGATGTTCCAACTATGAATCCTAGTAATATAAAGGATCTCATTACCAAACGAAGTTCAATTAAAGGTCGCATAACAAAATACAGTAATTTTTTAACTAAATTTATTGATTCATATGATAAATATGATAACGCACCATTCGTGGAAAAAGGAAGTAAGTGATTTTCACCAACTTTTCAGGAGCTTAAAAAAACTGTCCTATATTTTTTGTATGAGTTCTAGAAATAAGTCTCAAAGAGAAAATCGTAGGTCACAGTTGCCTTCAACTACATGTGTCATTTAATTTAGGAACAGCTTCATGTACTTCCAGATAATCTAAAAAAACACGGTTACTTCTGTATTCCACGAAACACAAAGAACATTTGCAGGGGTAACTACAATTATTGCTTTATTGTTATGTATTTTTACATATATGAACAAATTTAACTCTACTTACGTTTTAATTTTCTTTATACTCTGCTATATTTCATTAAAATCTAGAATTGCAAGTATAATTACGTTGTTATTTAACGAAATATCATTTTTTGTACATCGAGTTACGTATATCTAGGGAGCCATTTATTTTAGTTTAGTTAGTGTATTTATAAAAATAGCTTTTATAATGCGGAAAGTAACTGAATATTTAATTTGTATCATGTAATACCTACTTCTTACAGTAAATAGTCTATTATGTGCGTGCATGTAAGTCAAAAGTATAAATATAGGGGCAAATTAATTTAGAGAATATGAAAACAAACAGGGTTATTATTAATTTATTATTATTTTTATTGCCTCCATAATCAACTTAATCAAAAAATGTTCAAAATAGTGATATTTTTATTATTTTTATTAACGTTCATTATCCTCAACTTTTGAATCGGACTCTGTGGTTTAGTTTAGTTTAGTCTTAGATGTAGTACTTAAGTTCTTATAAAACGTCGATAGTGTGGTGGTATGTTTTTATCTTTATATAGATTCATCAAGTCTTTGTATATATTTTAGGTATCGGTAACGGTGCATCATACTAATGCTTGATTTCAGAAGGCTCGCTGTGTGCAGCTCTTTTTTTCTCATAACTCTTCCCCTTCTATTTGTCTATTATTTGGTGTCTCATCAGCGAATGCGTATTTATTTGGAATTTCCCCGGACATTGAGGATCTGCCGAAATCTCTTTAATTTTACTCCAACTCGTTTAGTAAATATATTAGGTCCTAACATATGAAATTTGTAAGGGAGTAACCTAATTACTCCCTTACAAAACGCCAATTTCAGTTGATTTTTCAAAATATAATATATTTATTTAATCAAAATGTAAAAATGTAGTTTTATTGATCCCTTTACTAAAAAACCATTAGGACGGGTATCGATAAATCGGATTTGAATTTTTTCCCTTGCAAGAAGTTATCCAAATTTTGAAAGAAAGCAAGATCCGGGAAGTACGGTGGAAATATTGGACATTTGAAGCTCTTCTAATTTCGTAACGTTGTCCTGAAGCAGCAGTGGCCTACGGTGATTGACCAGTCTCGGTTGTTTAGCAGCTAGCTTTTCCATCATGGTTTGCAATTGCTGACAATACACATCTGCCATAATATTCTGGTCAGATTTAAGAAAGCTGAAGTGAACAACACAGGCACTAGTCCACTAAGTGCTCACAAGTAATTTTTTTTGAGTTTGAATTTTCGCTTGGGGCAGGATTTGATTAGTTTGCTAGGATTCAGCCATTGCGATGAGTGTTTCCGATTATCGTACAAGATCCACTTTTCATAACAGGTAATGATCCGATTTAAAATCCCTTCATTATTATGCCGGTTGGCTAATAACGCAGCAGTCTACGCGCGTTTGTCGATTTGCTCCATTCAATTCATGATCTTTTCAAGCTTTTTTCACCTTCCCAATTTGCTTCAAGTGGATTAAAACAGTTTTGTTACTAACACTGCAGCCTGCAGTTAACTCGGACGTGGTTATCGATGGATCCGCTTCCACATTAGCCTTTAATTCTTCATTATCAACCTTGGACTCTGGCTGCTCACGGGGCTTGTTTTGCAGATCGAAATTTCCAGAACGAAAACATTGGAACCAAAACGCACCGTGTTTTCTTTTGCAACACCATCGCCATACACATCATTAATTCTTCGAGTCGTTTCTGCACACTGGTGCCACGACGGAATTCGTACTCTTAAAAAACGCGATATTTTATGTTTTCCATTTTGTAAACTCAGTGACGTAAAGAAAAAACCAAAGATGGAAAAAACATATAGATTACGGTTTTCGAAAAACAAATGCATGAGTAAATAACTGTACAAATTTGAACTTTGAATTCCTGGCGAAAGAGGAGATATTTGAGATCAAAGTGGCCAGTACGACAAAACACCAATTTCATATGTAAGTACTTAATATTATAGTACCATCTCTGAGAGGTTGGAGTAACATTTTCATAATCTGGGTTTTTCTTAATGCACTATAAGTATAAACTATGCATTTTAGCGCAATTATGCTTTTCATCTAGAATTTATCATTGTTAGATTGCGGAGATAATGCGATTCTTTATGTGGAAACATATTAATTTGATCAATGAAATTTTTGGTTTACTTCTTATTTTGATTGGTCTATTAGTATGTTATCAACAACCTTATCGATTTGGACCACCTTCATCGTTAACTGAATCATAAAAAAATCATAATAATACATACATCGAACTCCTACATTTCCTCCTTCTACCATCAACTCCTACATTTTAATAGCGATATTAGTTCTAATATAAGTTAAGGAGTGTCCGGCGCCTTCCTGCAAAATAAACCGACGATATCACGAAGGTGACCGGGAGTCGATGGAAACAAAAGGCGGAAGATCGCACATGGTGTAAGAAATTGGGAAATAAATAAATACTCAACAATTAACAGCGCCTTCTAGTCACACGGTATGAAGAGCTTGTGTTATGGGACAACATCAGTTATAACACAAGCTTTATATCAATAAATACTTAGATTTTATATACATACATGAAACATATACATAGAAAACTCCCAGACCCACACAAACAGTCATACTCAGGAATACAAATATCTGCACCGTCCGAGGAATCGAACCCGCGACCATTGGAAGTAAATCGGTGTGCTTAAACGCTAGACCACCAAAGCCGAATTCGGACAGGCCTATATCCAACTGTGGGTAGCCACAAGTTGAAATTATGATGATTAGTACTTTAAGGGGGTCTTCCTATGTAACGGCCTGTTTTTTAGGGATATTTTAGGATTTTTTTTCTACGACCAGTAAATATTTAGAGCTTCAAGTTTTTTATCATTCATTAACACATATTTGGACAGTATAAATATAAAATTTCAGCTAAAAATATTCAGTCAAACTAGAGTTACAGCGCTCTGAACACCCCCGCCTCGAAAAAAAGAGCTCCCACTTCCTCCACGATTCCGGCTGATCGGCTTATCTGAAAAAAAAAAAAAACGGCGTTTTAATTTGTAGGCTTAAAAGCACGGAATGACCTATAATCAAATGAATATAAAAAAAATTGGATTTTTGATAGACATTTGAAATAAAAGTTGCAAATTAGGCGTTTTTTTTTTTTGTTTTTTGCTATAAAAAAATCGAAGTTTTGAAAATTTTCGATTGATAATAGTTCATTCCATGCGTTTACATATATTGAGTGTGCCCTGTAAATTTCAAGTAATTCGGTCCAGCCGTTTCTGAGATACAATGGAGGAAAGTTTGAAAAACACAGTTTTGAGAAAAACGCGTTTAAAGTTTCAAGTCCGTTAAAAACTATTAAAATATCAACTTACTCTCAATCGGCGATGCCTGGTCCATAGAGTATTCCTTCCTCTTCCTCGTGAAACTCTTTTAAAGCAGATTGATCAGCTCTTGAGTCAATCCTGGCTTGATTAACGACATCACTTACGCGCCGCTCAGAGCGTAAGATTCGCTTTTCATCCCGTTTCTCAACATACGCTTGGGCTTCACGACCAACAGGGCATCCCATAATCGACATAACTTTTAAAATACCTTGAAAACCTTCATTAAAGATAATAACTGCTAAGTAGCTAGCAATTTCAACAACTTTGGGACCAGAATGAAGATGTTTAGGAGCGAAAGTCCAAATCAAATAATTCAAAGATTCGTTATTGTTTTGTGTCTCTGCTCCTAAACAACGAATTAATAATTCGTCTTTCGATAAATCTTCGAAAACCGGTTTGATAGCTTCTTGGACTTGCGGAATTAGAGGTGGTTTATCGTGATGAAATTGGTCCAGTTCATTATTAGCTTCAGCCTTACGCCATTTACACCAACTGTCTTCGCCTTCTGGACAAAATTGATGCTGAGGGTTTTCATCAGAAGAACATTTGTGATAGTACGTTGCCCAAACTTCCTTTCTCATATCTTCAAGCGAATCTGGATGGCGTCGAATTGCTAATCCGTAGAATTTTGTAATTTCTTGGATAACTTTATCAGTAAGTTTACCTGCTCCTTTTCCTCCTATTCCTTTATTGGTTTTATCCTTTTTAACAGCCCGAAGTCGTGTTCCCATCCTCTTTTCTACGTGACCCACACATTCTTTTTTTGTAACCGCAGTATCTCCATACGGTTTAGTATCTAGGATGCCCTTGAAAGTTTTGCTGTCACCGTCGCCAATGTATGTTAGATACTTTACGCCATATTTTTCTACAGACCTCAGAAACATTTTCGTGATGGCACTTATTTCCATTTTACCGGAACTTCCGGAATGGTTTATGGTGCATTCATCTACATGCGTTTCATACCACATCTCGTATTCTAAAGGATTTGTTTTTTTTTTATTTTTCCACAAATTACATCCACCACAAAAACTACTCATGACCATGACATCTAAAACTTTCCCAGTGTACTTGCCGATCAACGTAGATACGCCGAGCAGAGATGAAAAGCCTCTTTTCTTCCAAGTACCGTCACCTGACACAATCAATTCATCCTGTGGTTTTCCTGATTCTTCATTCATAGTTTTTTCTTGCGTAACAGCGAATGCCAATAAAGTATCACACAGTGAAGATGTAGCAATATGAATGTTTTCCAGTAGTGCAGTATAAGTAGAATTTGCAACACCCGAACACATGTCCATAAAGCTACAGAAAAGATTTACTCATTCTTGACCAACTCCCAATAATCGCATCGCAAATATAAACCGACGATTATGCATTGCATTTCCGATCAACGGGCCTGAGTTTATAACTGTCTGTTTTTCACACTCACACGATAAAATAATTTTAAAGCCTAGGCCTCGGAAACTTGATCGCGAAATAGACACGTCACTTTTACAAGTTTTACATATAACTATTTCAGAGATTGCAGCAAATACAGAAACAAACTCCAAAATGCAATATGCGAAATTCGAAGCGATGGGCACAATCATGTTCATGTTATTTTTAAGTTTTTTGGCCGAAGCTGATGTAAATACAGTATCATTTTGGTGGGTAAAACGGTTTCCACTAAACTTTCTTTTTTTACTACGACCAGGATGAACATTTCCACTCGTACTTCCTTTCCGTCCACTCATTATGAAAAAAATAATTTGTAGCTGTTGCTCTCTTCGAAGTTCAACCAAGACTAAAATAACTTCGGTAAAATATTATAACAATAGAAATTTCTGTTTAAGTCTGTAGAAACGTGTCTAAACTTGTATAAACAAATATATTAATAAAAGGGAGGCCAGGTATAAAGCCGACGGTACACAATAGGCCCGGTCTCTAACTGCCAACTCACCGCTCCGAACCGCTCTTTCTTTTACCTGCTGTATCTTTAAAACGACTTCGAATTTTCTAAAATCGCTTTACTACCGTATTCTAGACATGTTAAGGGAGCGATTTATGAAAAAAAAAAATCGATTTTTTCGAATTTGAATTTCGAATTCGAACCCCTTAATAGTTTTCAGAAATCTTAATCTTAATATAATATTCTAAACGTGAAAGTTTGTAAGTTTGTATGTTGCTCTTTCACGCAAAAACTACTGAATGGATTTTTACGAAACTTTACACTAATATAGCTTATGCATCTGAATAACACAGGATATATTTTTTATTGAAATTTAACGCGGGCATAGCTAGTAATTTATAACAAAGTAACGTTAGCTGGTCCCCAGCTAGTATTGTATGTGTACCTATTATGGGTAGCGGGAATTAATATTGAATATTATTGCTAGCAATATAAGGTACATTTAGTTCCACGCGGTCCATCCTGGAAACCATCGTTAGTTAATTCCTGTTAGACCTACAATAAGATTCACTGGCAATTGTATATTCGTTTATCCATATTTAAAATAGAAGTATTCTTTTTATCTATTGTTTTTATATACACTTGTATCAATTCGCTCTTCTATGGTAAATGTCTAAAAGCAGATCGATTTTTCTATCATTTATTATTACTATTCCTGGCAAATTCATCTGATCTCCTGCTCCTCCTATCATCCATCATTGGTGCGCCGTCAGCTTATACAATTAGCTAAAAATAGTTTATTTTTTTACTTAATTTTAATTACATGAACATATTCTTAATTTTTTTTTCTTGTAAATACATGCTGTATTTAAAATTACCCAACATCAGGTATGAAATGTTACGTGTAATAAAGAAGTAACTACAACTACACTTTACGCATTGTGAAGTTTTGCTGGGGGAAAAGTATGTAACAATAATCACACATAAACTATCAGCTAAAAGTTTCGTAGAAGAAGTAAGTAATTAGAATTACACAATAGTCCTAGATTGTAAGATATAGGAACAAGTATTTAAGTATATTTGCGTTAAACATTTTTTTGTAAATCTTCTTTTAAAATTTACGTAAATACAATTATGACTTTATGAGCGGGATAATTGTAAAGCGAATAAATGCAAATACGCATACCTCTATTTTATGCTGGAATTTTATGTTTTCTAAAGTCGCAAAATTTTAGTATTTTTGCATTAATTCCTTCATTTTTGTCGATAGCTTCATGAGATTTTGACAGAAGGTGTAAACCGCGAAGCTCGCTTTATTTATGTAATAAAACATTTTTGACGCAAGTGTAGTTGCGGCCTTTTTACACGGGATGTGCGATAAGACTAGTTTGCTTATGTTAACACAGAGATTTGAGAGATTTAAAGACTTAATGTCCATTTTTGATGATTGTCAATCACAAATTGAATTTGTGAATTCAAATAGTTTGGAATCGGAACTTGATACAAGAGAGGAAATCGAAACTGATTTTTCTACTCTTATTGCTAAGACTCAAGTAATTTTAGAGAAAAATCAGATTGTAGATGATTATAAATCGATTCACTCTGGATCGAGTTCAGATTGTAATAAGTCATGTGGTCATAATAAGAGCTTTCACTTTAAACTTCCCACTCTAAAAATTGGGAGCTTTGATGGGACTTATTTTAAATGGATTGAGTTCAGAGACACATATACTTCGCTTATACATAACAATGATAATATTGACCCTATCCATAAATTTCATTATCTAAATTCTTACCTAGAGGGTGAAGCCTCTCGTGTCATTAGTAATTTGGAAGTTAGTGCTGTCAATTACAAAGAAGCTTGGCATCTCCTATGTGAGAGATACAACAACGAGAAGCAGTTAATACACAATCATTTAAACTCTTTATGTAATATTCGGCCTATCACTCGCGACTCTGCCAAGGGAATAAGGTTTTTAATTGACCATGTATCAAAGAATTTGCGCGCTCTTAATAATCTAGGTGAACCAACTCAGTCCTGGGATACTCTTGTCATCCATTTAGTCTCAGCAAAACTCGACGGCAGTACTAGTATTAAATGGGAGGAACATAAAAATAGTTTTGAGAAATCGCCTTCTTTAAATGATTTTTTTAATTTTCTTAAGCGTCGAGCAGATGTTTTAGAATCATTTAATCACATCAAGCCTGATCGTGTAGATCAAGTAAAGGTAGATCATAATTCATCTTTTAATCAAAATAGAAGATCTCACTCCAAATCTTTTGTGGTTTCAGCTAAAACCCAAGCCTCTGCTTCTTCACCTTCGTGTATCCTCTGCCGCGGTAGCCATCGTTTGTATGATTGTGCATCGTTCCTATCCAAGCCAGTAGAGGACAGAATCGCTGAAGCATCAAGGTTAAAGGTTTGCCTTAATTGTTTACGTAAGGGACACTCATCACATCAATGCAGATTAAGTCGTTGTTCTATTTGTGAGAGACGTCATAATACCTTACTACATAGGGAGTCTTCTCAACCTGTAAACTCATCTCAGGTACATGCAGTTACTTCTAATACTGAAACTGCCTTATCTGCAACCGGACATAATTCTGAAAGCAGTATATGTGGCTTCACAAATCATTTTTGTAGTAACAATGCCTTGCTATCTACAGCTTTGATAGAAGTACAGAATCCAACCACGAATAAGTCTATTACAGTTCGAGCCTTGTTGGATAGCGGAAGTCAGTCTTCTCTTATTACAAAAAGAATGACAAACTTATTGCAATTAACTTCTCTGCCAATCCGGGTTGATATATTAGGCGTTGGTAATTTATTTTCTTCTAATGCGTTAGAACGTTGTATAGTTAACGTAAAATCTAAATATAAAAATTTTAAAACACAATTATCATGTCTTGTACTTCCACAAATTACTAGCAATATACCTAATAAAACATTTGATATTTCTCAACTTCACTTGCCTTCTAATATACAATTTGCAGACCCTAACTTTAATCGATCTGCACCCATAGACATGCTATTGGGCACTGATATCTTTTGGGACCTGATTGAATCTCAACAAATTAAACTTGGTCCAAATAAACCAATAATTCGAAAATCCAAACTTGGTTGGATATTAGCAGGTCCAATGTATACCAGGAACACTAATTCAGTATTTTGTAATCTTGCTATTGAACATAAAGATATTAGTAATGATCGTTTAAATGAAACAGTAAAGATGTTTTGGGAGTTGGAACAGATTCCGACAGCTAATAATAAAAGAACTGAGGAGGAAATATTATGTGAACAACATTTTTGTAAAAATACATATAGAAATAAGGACGGTAGATTTTGTGTTAAATTGCCCCTTATTACTGCACCAGACTGTTTGGGAGATTCATTCAGATCAGCCAAAAGACAATTTTTAGCTTTAGAAAAACGATTCGTGAAAAATCCAATACTCAATCAATCTTATTCAGAATTTATTAAGGAGTATGCAGACTTAGGACATTTGACGGAATCGCCTGTTTTTATTCCGAATCAATCCTTTTTTATTCCTCATCATGCAGTATTTAAGCCATCTAGTGAATCTACTAAGCTACGCGTTGTATTCAACGGTAGCGCTAAAACTACATCTGGTTATTCTATTAATGATATACAAATGACTGGACCTTACATTCAAGATTCTCTATTTAATATTTTAATTAGGTTTCGTCAATACACATATGTACTGTCAGGCGATATTGCAAAAATGTACAGGCAAATAGAAATTCAGGACAGTGATCGAAATTTACAAATGATATTATGGCGTTTCAATGAAAATGAACCACTGAAATCTCTTAGACTTAATACTGTAACTTATGGTTACACTAGTAGTAGCTTTTTAAGTACACGTTGTTTGTGGCAGTTAGGCGAGCAATGTGATAATCTAAATATAAAATTAATAATACAAAATGATTTTTTGGTTGATGATTTGTTAACTGGTAGTGATAATATAGATGAACTAGTGTATATTAAGAAGTCGGTGGAAAGCGCTCTTTCCTCTGGTTGCTTTAGCTTACGCAAATATCGTTCAAACTTACCGTCTATTTTGGTCGATTCACAGAACGACCAAAAGGATTTAATTATCAGTTCATCATCTCACACATTAGGTATAGGGTGGAATCCTAACAAAGATTATATACATTTTCCAACTAATTATTTAAATTCAAAGGACATTCCAACTAAGAGATCTATATTGTCAGATTCATGTAAAGTTTTTGATCCTCTTGGTTTGTTGAGTCCAATTACTATTAAACCAAAAATCTTAATCCAACGATTATGGTTGGATAACATTGGCTGGGATGATCCCGCTCCAAAGGATATAGCTAAATTATGGCAAGAATTTATTTATAATATAAAATATATACAAGACATACGTATTCCAAGGCATGCTTTGTGCGAATCCCCTGTAGATGTTGAACTCCATTGTTTCTGTGACGCGTCAGAGTCAGCATATGCTGCTTGCATTTATCTTCGGTCTATAAATAAGCAAGGTGATATAACTGTTCATCTCTTATGTGCTAAGGCTAGGGTAACTCCGGTAAAACCGTTAACTGTCCCGCGTCTCGAACTAAGTGCATGTCTGTTAGGTGCACAACTTACAAGCGCTGTTTGTTTTGCTTTACGATGTGTAATTACGCGTAAGATATTTTGGACTGATTCGTCCATAGTATTGGCTTGGTTAGGTACGAGATACGACAAACTAAAAACTTTCGTGGCGAACAGAGTCAGTGCCATTCTTGATTTAACTAGTACCGCTGATTGGCGTCATATTTCTACAACATTAAATCCAGCTGATTTAGCTTCACGTGGTGCCAATGCGGAAGAAATTCTTAATTTTGATTTATGGTGGCATGGTCCTTCATTTTTGCGTAAACATGTTTCTTTATGGCCCACTTCTATTCCAACAGGGATACAGGTTAACAATTTGCCTGAAATAAAGGTGAATGTTAGCATGTGTAATGAAAGTGCAGAATCAATAATAGATTTTGATCGATTTTCAAATTTTAATCGTCTACAACGTACTTTCGCATATTTGTTTCGATTCATACATAATTGTAGATACCCTTCAAATAAGCAGATTGGTATTTTACAACCTGAACACTTAAATTACTCGTTTGAATTTTTAGTTAAAGTAGCTCAGGAACAAAGTTTTCCTAATGAAAAAACATTATTACGAAACAATAAATTTCTTAGTTCTAAAAATTATCTATGTTCACTGAGTCCTTTTATAGACAGTAATGGTATCCTGCGAGTAGGCGGACGTTTGAATTATTCTTGCTACACATTTGATAAACGTCATCCTATGTTACTTCATGCTAAGCATAGACTTACCAAGTTGTTTTTTCAGCGGGAACATATACGTCTTCTTCATGCTGGTCCTCAGCTACTTCTGTCCTCGGTTAGAGAATCTGTCTGGCCTATAGCTGGTAGAGATTTAGCGCGTACTGTAGCTAGACAGTGCACTGTATGTAGAAGAGCAAGCGGTAGAACACCAACACCATTAATGGGTGCACTACCCAAGCAACGCGTAAATCCAGATTTTCCTTTCATTAGTACTGGTGTCGATTTTGCTGGACCATTCTTTATAAGCAACAGAAAGGGTAAAGGTTCTCGAATAACAAAATGTTATCTATGCGTTTTTGTGTGTCTTAGATACAAGTGTCTGCACTTGGAAGCCGTGAGTGAACTTTCTAAAGATGCGTTCATATTATCACTGCGTCGTTTTATCTCTCGCAGAGGTAAGCCTTTAGATATATTTTGCGATAATGGTCGCAATTTTGTGGCAGCTTCTAAAGAAATTAGACAGTTTATTAGCGCCAATACTGATGACATTTCTGATTTTTCTTCCAAAGAAGGTATTAAATTTCATTTTCAACCAGCTTATGCTCCGCATTTCGGGGGTTTATTTGAAGCAGGCGTGAAGTCAGCAAAATATTATTTAAAGAGGATTTTAGGTAACTCTCATCTCACATTTGAAGAATTGGCAACGTTGTTTAGTCAAATTGAGGCAATTCTTAACAGTAGACCCCTATATCCCTTGTCGTCCTGTCCCGATGACCTTCAACCCTTAACCCCAGGGCACTTCCTTATTGGAAGACCACTTTTGTCGTTACCGACACCTAGTTTGCAGGATAAAAACATAAACCGTTTAAACAGTGTTCAACGGTTGGAGCTTTTACGGCAGCAATTTTGGAAACGCTGGCAGTTAGAATATGTGTCCGAATTGCAGCAAAGGCAGAAATGGCGGATCCCAGATAGACAGCTTCAAATAAATGATTTGGTGCTGTTAAAGGAAGATAACTCCCCTCCCATGTGCTGGAGAATGGGTCGCATCTGCTCTCTGTTTCCAGGTCAAGATGGAGTGGTGCGCGTTGTTGAAATTAAAACTGCAGCAGGCAATTTCCGACGTGCTGTAAAGTATATCTGTCCATTGATGGAGCCATCAGAGGAGACTTCATTGGAAGCCGATGCTTCCAAGGCCCCGGAGGATGTCGGCGCACAACACTAGCGATCGGCTCGCTGTAGGTCCAATCCGGTTGAGGTTGGCTCGCCTGTACCCTTTTCGACGTCCACTACATATGACGTGCGCATAAAATTTATTTGTAACTTTTTAAAATATAATCATTTAAAATTGGAGTCAGATTATCATTCATATCCACCTCGGAACAGTAATAATTGTGTCACCATGACCATGTAAAAATATAATCAGTCAAAGTCACTATTTGTTTATTATAACTTTTTGTCTTTAAATTATACACGAATTTATATTTTAAAGTTTAATTAGAACAAAAAAAATATACATCCAAAATAAATCTACTTCCAGTATAGTATAACATTAATTTTGATGCTTATTATATATATATGTATATGTATAAGGTAATTAATTCAACAATTTTTTTGTCTCTGAAACGGTTTTACCGATTTTGACGGGACTTTAACTCGCACATAGCTAATTTTAGAAGAACTCACTAAGGCTATTTTATTTCAGAAATTTAATTATATATAATTGTAGTATATATAGTATTTGGCATAATTAATGTTTATAACGTACTCTGTGCAGTTGTCAGAGGCTGATTGTAAAAATGGTGGGAATGGCCTAATTAAATGCTAAATAATTAAAAAAAATATATTCTAAGCAGATCAAGTCACGAGTAACAGCTAGTGAATAATAAAAATATATACCCGCCGGTTCATAGGTAACTGATTGGTTTATTACGGTCATAATGTACCGTTTGTCTTATCGTGGGTTAACATTATGGGTCTATTAAGCAAATCAGTCACTAATCTCAGAGGCCATATTATTTATTACTCTGTAGGTGGAGAGGTGATTTTTTTGTACTATTCACGCCCTCGGGATATTTAGCACACCTTATTACTCTGTAGGTTAATTTTTTCACCTTCTCGGTGGTCTTCGCGGGTTCGATGTACGGTGCAAATATTTGTATTCATGAGTATCATTGTTTGTATCGGTCTGGGTGTTTTCTATGTATATTATGTATTTACAAAAAAAATCTGAGTTATCTAGTAGCAATAACATAAGTTCAGCTTATCGTGAGACTAGATGGCGCTGTGATAATTGTCCAGGGTTATTATTATTATTAACTTGGTTTATGTGTTTATGTTATTTCATTCTGTGATATTTCCCGGCCGTTTTAAATCATTTGGTTCAATGATCTACATTCTTCATGACATTTATGTAGACCTCAGTTCAAATTTCACATATGAACCACCCGTCGCCTTGATGTTGAAGTCCAGATTGTGTAAACGTATAGGGTCTGCAGTCTTCTGACTTTTGGCGATTTTGAAGTTCAGGACCAGGTCGTATAAGAATACCTTGACTTCAAGAAGTGCAAATCTAGAAGCTAAAATAAAATGTTATTAAAATTAAGGTTCATGAGACCTGTATTTACTTATTTATTAAAATTAAGTTTCTTTTACTCATACATCGTACGTAATAAAATGAAAATATAAATTTAATTGTTATCAAGTTTAATTAGAAACAAGCGAATGAATAGATTTAGAATAGAATTTTGTATTATGATCCATAGATTGGTAATCCATAGATTGACCAAACCTTGGTCAAAATCTATGTACTCGAAATTAAAATTTTAATTATAATAGATTAAGAATTTAAACTGGAAACTCTTAACATAATAATATATAGAAACAAATCAAAAGGACCACAGAGTATATGTCCGTGGGAAACAAAAACAAGAAATCGTTAGCAACTATGCAGATTTGTTAAAATCTTAAAATTTAATTAGATAATAAGTATCGATAATAGAAATATATAAACAACAAAGAAACTGAAATAGTTAATGTTATTAGTGATGGATACGACTTTAGTACCTATGTACTAAAGTCGTATCCATCAGGCGGGAGTTTGCCTTCAGCCGCTCCATAAGTACTATCGTGGGTTTGCAGTGTCATCTGCACTCGCCCCCTAGCCACCTATCGTATAGTGAAGCTGTAAAGGCCAGTTGATGCTAATAGCATTAGAACAGTTCGAAAAAAAGCAATAGATGTTGCATCATGTTCATATATTATAAGATAAGAAATCTGAATATTAACAATAAGTGATATGAAGAAGTAAGATAGAAAGAAGGCGAAGAAGAAGAAGAAATGTTAAAAATAATAAACAAGAGAGAGACGGGTCGACGGACTGTCAGGCCCTCTTGCAAGATGAACCGACGACATCACGAAGGTAGCCGGAAATTAATGGATGCGGAAGGAGCAAGATCGCACTTAGTGGAAGGCATTGGGAAAGACCTACATCCAACAGTGGATAGACATAATAAAATTATGGTAATGAATGATGAAGAGCAAGACAAATTTCAACTTACCGATACAGTTTCTCGGTCCCATTCCAAATGGCATGAAAGTGAATGGTACAATTTTGTGTTTGTTCTCATCTGAGAAGCGATCTGGATTGAATTGTTGCGCGTTAGGATGATACTTATCGTCCATGTGAATGACATTCACCATATTGTATACTACATCTCCAGGGTTTAGCTGATGACAATAATTATCAGTATTAGTGTGGTCTTCTTGAAAGACTTTTAATTAATATGAAAAATTGGTGTTATTTGATATGTTGTCAATTTTATTATATAGTGCATTATTGCTAGTAATGTTTCTAGTATGAATAATCTTATTGATATTATAAACGCGAAAGTTTGTGAATATGGATTGATGTTCGTTACTCTTTCATACAAAAACTACTGAATGGATTTTGATGAAACTTTACAATAATATAACTTATACATTTATCAGAATAACATATAGGTTATAAATTTCACGCGAGTGAAACAGCGAGCACAACTAGTAATTAATAATTAACAAAGGATTATTATGATATAAGTAGTACTATGTAATATTACATCCCTGATCTTAAGTAACACTACCCAAAGAATTAGGTATTTATAAAGTTTCCCTAATATCTCCGACAATTTGAAAAAATTTTGCTACTTAGTTATTGTGATTAAATTAACAATGAATATAAGTGAAATGTAGTTGTATGTCATTTATAAATAAATATTAGAAATGTAATTTGTATTATACACTTACACGATAAGGCTTTCCTCCTTCCCGAGGTGGGGGTAGTTCGTATGGTTTATTACACATTCTGTCCATGAAGATAGCTGCTGTCCATTTTCTCAATGTTTCTATAAATTCATAAAAAACATCCAAAATCATCATTACATATATATAATATAGAATTTATTTCTAAATATAATATATCACGTAATTGAAGTAATGAAGACTGGCATAGATTATTTATTATTTTACACTTATTTACAGTTTTTGTTGTCAATGTGACAACTTTGTTTGTTTAAAGTTTATCACACCTCACATTGTATTTACAGAATATCCTATATCTTCAAGATATATAATATAATTCAATCAATTGTACATCATCATCATTGCCTTGCCGGTCGGCGCAGTATGTCATCTAATTGCACTGATCCCTATCTCTCGTCATATCTGAACTTACATCTATTGTACATATGTCAGAATCATTCATGTAGGTCTATTGCAGATTCTTATGATATACCAAATCTACCGTCATTTAGAGCTAAGAAGAATTCAGCTCTGTCTTCTAATCTTCTTATTTTTTTCAAATATGCTTGTACATCTTTAAAAAAATACAGATTCATTTTTAAATTCTAATTAGGGAGAATAGAGTGACCACCAGCATATGCTATTGCAATTTTGCCAAAACGAAATATGTTAATTTCTAGTTAATTAACTTAATTATTGTGAGTCTTTACTCAAATTAATTCAAATTATATTTACCATTTACAACACAATCCAAATATTTCAACTGGTTCACATTCTCGTAGGACAAAGTGTTGCTTGCTTGGTGTTGCTGTATTTCCTTGTACAGTTTCTCTTGGACCTCCTCATTTAGGGCTAATTCGTGAATACATAGAGTTATAGCTGCTGCAGAGCTCTCAAATCCAGCGGCGAAGAATATGAACACTTGTCCAATTATTTCATCTTCTGTCCATTCTAGAATCAATCATATGATCATGGAAAAATCAAGGGAGCTTTACCACTAGTTTACCCGTGATCATGCCGAAATATTAGGAACTCATTAAAAATAAATAAAACGTGGTATGATTTCTCCAAATTGCATATAGAAATGGACTCTAAAATGTCAACTGTTGGTACCACAGTCTGACCTATTTCAGTCGCCAATTAGCTTGCTTTTGTAACCTGTGTTTCGGTTGTACTCTGCAGATTAGGCAGTGAAATTACAGGATAAGAGGCATGACATCTTAGTCCTCTGGAAAGACGTGTTATCCATAGAGCTGTTCATATATGTAGGCTATGTGATTACAGAGGCCTTCAGATTGTTTTTCATTCCAAATACATAAAAAAACTTATTAGTTTACACAAGCGAAGGCTTATATTTTATAGTGTTCTGCTTGCAATTATAGAAGTTCGCTAAGAATTGCAATTCTTCTATAAAATTTCTTGCTGTATATTTTTAATTTTATTGTCTTACCTCTTGTAACACCTTTCTGTTTTAATGCCTCTTCGGTAGTGGCAAATCCGACATCTTCTTTCTCAGGGTTACTGTCTGTTAATGTTCCTGGAATAAGTATATTAATATAAATTTTGTTTCGTAAAAAAACCATTATTTAAGTAATACGATATCTGTATTCAACCTAAATAGATCTATTCCCCGAAACAAATTAGCGTAGCTCGTTTGTAAAGGTATTATCAAAGATGCTTGAGTTATTCGATTTTTAAGCAATATGAATTAAAAATAAAGTAATTCAGAAGATAAAAAGTAAGGTTCTCAAAATAAAATTCCAATATATGTTTACTCGAAAAATCCATAAGTATGACACTAGTTCTTAAGTTAGGCTAAGTTTTTAAAATTGTAAACTTACCTTTCGAAGCTTCCATCAATAGCTGTATCATATCGGGTCGTACCACATTGTTATTTTTCCTGTAACTTATCGTTTCAGTGATAGTATTTTTAAAAAAGTTCATCACCCTTGGCGGAAATACAGTAATTCCCAATTTCTGTAACAAATATTGAAGTTAATTTAAAGATTTGACAATTTATAGATGCGAAAGGATCTAGTTATTTGGTATTGTCTAGGTGGACTGAGGAGAAATAGATATTATAAGTAAGTAATTATATTATGTAACATGTAATAAAATTATTAAATTTTTTATAATAAATACATTTAGTAAATATATTTACATTTGTAACTTCATATATACATATTATATTACATTTATTTATTTCAAAATTTATTCATATTCTCTACATTACTTATTTCATTTACTTTATTAATTTTTAAAGTGTAACTGTTCCAGTCATTTGATAATTTTACAATTTTACAGTCAGCGTTACAGTAATTAAAAGGTATAAAACTTTATTTTACCTTTCCAAGTTTAGGAAATTGAGCGGACATAAATAATGCCAGTTTCTGGTGAAAGTCGAAGGTAAACAAATTCATGCCTATTTTGAAGAATTCATTGTCTTTATCTCGCACAGAATTCACTTGAATACCGAAGCCTGCTGACCCGATGACGTCCAGGGTATAGCGACGCACCAAATCATCAACATGAATCTCTTCGGATATATGCTCTACAAAAGATTTTATTTGCTTGTCATAAAGATGACTTTATACAGTTTACCTCTGGTACTAATGTCCCGTGTGCTACAAAAGATTTTATTTGCATGTCGTAAATACGACTTTTTACAGTTTACCTCTGGTAGTAATGTCCCAAAGGTAAACTGTAAAAAGCCGTTTGGGTGGATGCCTCAGTCTCATCTATTTTACGCGCTGAGTAGCTTGCTTTGTTGTTTTTTGGTTGTAGGATAAAATTAGGCAGTGTAATTACATAATAAGAGACATGACATCTTAGTATTCTAGAATAATAATAATAAAAAGCCTGCACAATTCACACAACGCCATCTAGCCCCAAATACATGACATCTAAATACTATGTAATAATAACAATAAAAATCAATCAGGACAATCTACATAACACATAAGTGCTATGGGTACTAGACAGCTGATATAAATACTTATATATTTTTATTATGTAAATACATACAAAATAGACAGACAGATAAAAGCAATCATACTAATGAATACAATTGTTTATACCGTGCGAGGATTTGAACCCGCGACCATCGGAAGTAAAGCGGTGTGCTAAACCGCTAGACCACCGAGGCCGTCATATACTCGTACATCCCGTCTGTACAAGGCCATATCTACAATTTGCACAAGTGATCATACATTAGGCGGTATGATTAACTTATTGACCTGATGAAACCAAAACTTGTACATTTATCTATTTTTTTTATTGCGTTGTTTGGGCCATTGTCAGGTGTTTGTAGCACCTGTAGTACTACAACCTGGGGGGAAGGGTTTTGTTAGTAATGGGAACTAGTAACTCCCATTGCTAGCAATGTACCATGTTAGGTCGACCTCCACGCGGTTCCTCCTGGAAACCATCGTGATAAATTCTTGGTGAATTTGTCACGATGGGCTAACTGATCTGACCTCATGCTCATCCTATCATCCTCCACTGGTGCCCCGCCAGCGTCAACCGTTAGCGCAGGCGGGTGCACCATTCCATTATCATACACAAAAAAAAAGTACTGCGACCTACATAGCTCTATTGCGCTCGCCCTCTTTCAGAGTTCGTTACCTAGCGGGTCTAGGTATCAATCAGGTAGTAATCAGGGACAAGAATTGAAACTTTGAGTACCATGTCTAGGACTACAATTGTTAAGATGTATGTACATACGTTATATAATCGTATACAGCGCGCCTATACAAGGTTATATCTACAATTTGCACGAGTTAAGTGACCATACATTAGGCAATTGGGACACCATTTATTTGATTAACCTATTCACCCGAAGATTCTAGAATTTGTACATCATTACATAGTATAAAACAAAGTCGCTGTCGCTGTCTGTCCCTACGTATGCTTAAATCTTTAAAACTACGCAACGGATTTTGAAGCGGATTGTTTTAAATAGATAGAGTAATTCAAGAGGAAGGTTTATATATATAATACATGTTACCCGTGGCAAGTTGGGGCGAGTAGCTTGTTTATCTATAAGTAGATAATATTGTTGACGTGTATTTTAACGATGATTATAATTTATTATGAGTATTATTATTTCTATGTTATAATGTTCTATGTCTAATATTTATTATAAATATAACTATGACATTTATGTTATTTAAATAGTTTAAAAGTAATCTGTCAACTATAATACTAGTCTAGCGATTTCGTACGGTACAAACATTTGTATCTAAATATATATAACTCAAAGGTGACTGACGTAGTGATCTATCAACGCACAGCCCAAACCATTGGATGGATCGGGCTGAAATTTAGCATGCAGGTAGATGTTATGACATAGGCATCCGCTAAGAAAGAATTTTGAATAATTCTACCCCCAAAGGGATAAAATAGGGGATATAGTTTATATAAAACTTTGTCAATTTTAAACTGATCGGGTTGAGACTGCATGCATAAAGCTACTATGAAGTAGGCATCCCCTAAGAAAGGATTTTAATAAATTCCATCCCTAAGGGGATAAATTAACGCGAGCGAAACAGCGGGCAAAAGTTAGTTTATAAATATAATTGTTTATTGTTTATTTGTATGTATTTACTTATTTTTGTAAATATATGTTTATAATTAATATTATAATAACCATTATAAATAAAATAACTTGATTATGTAAATTATGTTCGTTCATTTAAGACGTAGATATGACGTAACCTGATATATATAAATAGGCATGGCGTAGACTCGTTTCTTGTACCTGACCACTGACTACTAAACAATAATATACAGAGTATAAACTTGAGCACTACATTAATCCGAAGAATACAGCCAAATAAAAGAGTGCCCGTAGGCACTGGCTGGTCTACTACAGGCAATAAAACTGATTTATTTTGTTACATTAGTCATGTAAATTATGAATATTTTGATAATTAAGATTTAGAGCTATTACGTTATAGGTACCAAGTAGTATTTAGTCTATATTGTATTGTTATTTATTCTTATTAGTATTTATCGTAAATTTTTTTTAATATAATTTTTTTTCCCTACCGTTCACCTGCTCGTTTAGTTGAGAAGAACTGGCAAGGAACTCAACTGACTTTCTTTATTTTTTTTAAAGACACTATTAATTGTCTACTATATGTCTGTATCTATGACTAACATTAAATGAAACATTCAAGAAATATATAAAATAATGAAACATTTGTCTGAAAAGAGCATCTTGTAAGAATCTGCATTCCGAATGCGTCAGTAAATAAAAAAAAGCTATTCAAAAGTGTTTATCTTTAGTTCATTTGAATGTAGACTATTTTTATTTTATTCTAACACTAACATGAATAACATAATATTAAAAATATCATGAACTTCAGGTTTTAAAATGGGATATTGACAGTTATTCATAGTTATCAAGTTTCTATTCAAGTGAGCACTGGCTGTAAAGCTTTCACTTTGTATTTATGTTATATAGTCCTGTATGAGTTTTTTATACATTTTCACCACGTAAGCCTGAAATATAAAACGAAATGCCAATAGACGATATATTGTGGTTTCTTATATATATGATAGTGAAAAAGTACACCTGTTTTTCTGTTTATCTTGTAAGGAATATAGAAATAAGTAGCTGAACCCGTAAACGTTGTTTTGCCGTATAAATTAAAATAGCTATTATAAAATAGGGGTTGGTGATATAGGGGTTAAAATTTTGCTTTGTATGTATTTTTTAATCGGTACTTTAAGCAATAATAAAAAAAAATTACCAAAAAATAAAAATATATTAGGAATGGACAACTCGATCAAGCCGATTCTCAGACCAACTGAATGTGCATACAAAATTTCATAAATCGGTCAAGCAGTTTCGGAGGAGTATATATATATATATATATATATAACTATATAGTTTTATATGTAGTTTTGAATAATATAATATATAATATACACATGGGGTCAAGGGTGTTATCAATAGTCGAAGTTGTGTGAACTGCAAAACTGGTTTTGTCGACATGCGATAAAAAGATAAGGGGCGAGGCCCGTTTGTCGTGTTCTCGATTTTTTAATAGTATTTCTATCATCGTAGTGTTCATATATACATATAAATAAGATTGGAGTGTCTGTTTGTAATATTGAAATAACCGTTTTTTACTACATGCAATATATATAAATAAATAAATATGTATATAAATAAAATAACATTTTTTACAATTTTTATATGTCTGTTTGTTTGTTCCGGGCAATCTCTGAAGTGGCTGGACCGATTTTAACGGAACTTTTTTTGGTAGGTAGCTGATGTAATAAGAAGGAATTTAGGCTACATTTATTTTAGAAATATAAAGTTAAATTCCACGCGGACGATTTTGCGGGAACAGCCAGTATTCTATATATACATAATTCACGTTTGGTGAAATAAAATATAATAAATAAATTGATAAAGATTTTGATATCAGTCTCACGAAGTTTCTATTTTTTTTTTACTACGATGGTGGCAATCAAGCATATGGCCCATCTGATGGTAAGTGGTTACCGTAGCCTATGAGCGCCTATAACAGCAGGGAATCTATTCTATTACCTAGTTTTTATAGATCATTCAACATTACCTTTCAAATAGTCGATGATGTTGTGGCTTACTTCAGTCATGAAGTTCATCATCAGTCTCATCTTGGAGCCGGTGAAGGCTGGGCTTAAAGTTACGCGCATATCACGCCATTTGTCATCTGTGGATAAATTAAATGTAAATAATACATGGATAAATATAGGACCATTTTCTTTTTATAGCACAGGGGACAAACGAGCTTGCTGCTAACCTGATGGTAAGTGATTACCGCTGCCTATGAGCACTTGCAACACCAGGGGAATTGCAAGTGCGTTGCCGGCCTTTTAAGAAGGAAAGTTTTCTAAAAAGAAAGGAAGGAATTAACATGTATTTTTTTATGATGGTAATGATATTGTGCTCGTGCTAACAGATTATACTGGAAGGGCATCGATTGAGGACGATAGTGTAACCAAAAATTCAGGTTAGGTTGGTCATCAGGGGGAAGTCACCAGGAATTAACCAGGATAGTTTCCTTATCGTCAACCAAATAGGGTACTAGCTAGGAATGGATTCTCCAGTCCCTATTACTAACAATCCCTCCCCCTCCTCACCATGTACATATTCAAGTCTTTGTAGAGTACTAGGAGTACATAAAACGAAAGTACCTTTCATCATAATAATGCTTCCACCGAACAACGGGTCCACGTCTGGGTCGAAGAATTGCTTGTGGTTGACAAAATGGTCGAAATCTTTAACAGTGATTGTTTTTATCAATTCAGGATCACGGATTATAATTATCGGGGAGCCACCTTCTATGAGGCCGACGTACCTGTAAAGAATGTTGGTGTATCAGACACTAGTTTTTTTTTATGGATGATAATGGAATGGTGCACCCGCCTGCGCTAACGGTTTACGCTGGCGGGGCACGAGTGGAGGATGATAAGATGAGCATGACGTCAGGTCAGTTAGCCCATCGAGACAAATTAACCAAAAATTTGTCACGATGGTTTCCAGGGGGAACCGCGTGGAGGTCAACCTGACATGGTGCATTGCTAGCAATAAGATCATCAGTCCATATTACTAACAATCTCCTTTCCCCCTGACATTAGTATTTGTTCATACATTAATATAAGCTGTTTTGAATAATCATTTAGAATTCTAGGCACTTTCATTATAATTAATACAAAAAGTAATGTTATTTGTAAATGTTCACAATAAATACACTATTGTTTTCAGTAATCACTTCTTTAATACTTTACTTATATATTCTGATACAATTTACTTTATAACTTAATTCCTAGACATTTTAACCAAAGACAATAATCATAAAGCTTACATCTATATTTTATAGAGACAATACCATAGATAAGAAAATAATAAAGGTTGAGTCTGTTCTTTACCTCAACAAAAAGCAGGATGGGGGGAAAGGGGATTGTTAGTAATTAATCCATAATGACCCCATTATTAGCAATGTACCATGTCAGGTTGACCTCCACGCGGTTCCCCCTGGAAGCCATCGTGATAAATTCACCAAGAACGATGGGCTAACTGACCTGACCTCATGTTCATTATCACCGTCCACTGGTGCCCCGCCAGCGTAAACCGTTAGCGCAGGCGGGTGCTCCATTCCATTATCATCCATAAAAAAATACAAAAATCAAGCAAAAACTTTATACTCCTTTTAATAACAATTGCATGGACAGAGAAGTACCAAATTTCGCATTCTTATAGTTTATATAGAGATGGAGTGCAGAATTCTATTCTTTTTTCCAATTGTGCATAAAAAACATGAAAGACACTAACATGTATTTAACCTACTAACGCATGTATACTCTTTTGTTAATTGTCAGTCTATGGTCAAATTGAGAATAGATTAACATTGTTTCTCTTTGATATTATTTGTCTATAGTCTTATTGATTGTTAAATTAATGATGGTCAAATTTCGACAACTAGTAATTATTGTTAGCTAATATTTAGTTACTGTATTCATTTTTGTTATTAAAGTGGGATCGATGTTACGACGGCCTGAGCCGAGGTTCGGACCCTAAGCGGTGCCCTAAACTAAAGTCGTATCCGTTAGGCGGGAGTTAGCCGTTTCATAAGTCCTTCCGCAGGTTCTGAGTGACACTGTAGTCCCCTCCTATCGTTCGGTGAAACTGTAAAGGCCAGCTGCGGCCAACAGCATCAGTATAGTTCGAAGAAAAAGGGCGTTATATGATGATATACCTAAAACCTAACATTACTTTAGACGTTCAAGTGATTTGCCATTGTGCTTTCTAAAAAAAGTCAACTAGATGGCGCTGAGTATCTAGTTATTTATTTATTCAATCCTAGCTGTACCCGCGTTTTTACTCGCGTGAAATTTATAGCCTATACGTTATTCTGATGTATAAGGTATATTACTGTAAAGTTTCATGAATATCCGTTCAGTAGTTTTTGCGTGAAAGAGTAACAAACATCCATCCATAGATACAAATTTTCACGTTTATAATATCAATAAGACATAAAGCAGTAAATTTTTTATGGCACCGGTTTTTTATTGCAACCCTAATTATCTTATCGTAGGTATATACTCATATAATATACATATATATGTTTGCATATGTATTAGTATTGTATATAAACAATAATTTTTATCAGACATGACCGACAGATAAAAGAGTAGTGTGTTATTATGTTTTGTATAAATATTACGTAGGTATTTTATTTGTTTCAGTGATATTTGTATATTTGTAATCTTCATTTATGACTGAATTTGATCTTAAATATCTTAATCTTAATAATATTATAAACGCGAGAGTTTGTGAAAACGCGAAAGATTTTTGTTACTCTTTCACGCAAAAACTACTGAATGGATTTTGATGAAACTTTACAGTAATATACCTTATACATCAGAATAAGACATAGGTTATTTATATATTGAAATTTAACGCGGCTAAACCGCGGGCACAGCTAGTCTAAGATACATCTGTCTATTGTATAGGTATTAACTGTATATACGAGTACACATAGTATATAAATACTTATTTACACTAATAATATATTATTACACCGACCTCGGTAATCTAGCGGTTTAAAATATCGCTTTACTTCCGGTCGCGGATTCGATTCCTCGCAGTCAAACATCTATAGTTATGAGTGTAATATATGTATTAGTATGATGTTATAAGTATATAATATGATTATAGAATTAAATTTAGAACGTTATAATTTAAAAAAAAAACACCTAATGGAATGGTACTGCCTATAGTATACTACATAGGTCGAAGATGAAGTCTGTCTATCAGTTTTTATCTCCACTTTCTCAATCTCATACTATATTATCATGAACAAAAATAATAAAATATGTATAAATTTAACGTTTATAAGCGTCTAAAATGTACTACATGAATAAATTATTTTTGTATTTGAATTATGGAATTAAATTTCGAACGTTATAATTTAAATGAATTTCAATTTCAATTTCAATTATGGAATTAAATTTCGAACGTTATAATGAAATGAATTTGAATTTGATTTTGAATTGTGGAATTAAATTCCGTACGTTATAATTCAAAAAATGAACTCACTTTTCATCTGGAAAAGCTGTATACACAGCAGCCAAATCTTCCAAATAATGTTTTTTCCCAACCGTACTCTGATACATGTTCCCAAACATGGGAACGCCAGGTAAGAACTTCACATCCCTCTCTTTGAAGAAGTAATGTATTTTCTTATGTACATACAGTATGTAAAAAAACACGGTAGTGACTATAAATATTATAATTTCGGCGATCATTTTGTACAAGGCACCAGTCAGTGTCGCTTTTGATAGAGTAATGACGGTTCTGCGCAATTGACTCTGTTGTAGGGATGTGAAAAATAAATAACCGATTGTTATTCAACAAATAATCGATTCTTTATCACAGACCATTTTTTTAAGTCCCCAGTATAGACATAATACACATATAATAATAATAGAATTTTAATACTCGATTATTTTTCCACATTCCTAACTTTTATGCTGACCTATTAAAAAAAACAAGACCACACTGTTTTTATTTTCGACTTGTTTCTTAGATCATATAGATGAAAACTCGTCTGTGAATAATAATATTTTTTTGGAAGTACCAAAAGAAAAACAAACTGTAATCCACAAAACTCTGCATAGTTCATCACAAGATGGCTCTGTGTTAATATTGCAGAGTTATTTACTTATTATTTATTGCACTATTTAAAATAAATGTATCATTAGCGAGCTTAATGCCATAGGGCGATCACTACCTACTAATCATTGTGTAAAAACAGAAAGCGGTTGAAGGGCAGTAATGAGAAAAACATATTTTTGGTATTTACCTAACTTAGGTAAATATATCAATACTAATATGCTTACATAATAATAATATATGAGTAATATATGTACTGAAAAGTAAATAAAGTATTTTTTATTTGTATTGAATAAAAAGAATCGATTATTATAATCACAAAAATAATCGATAATTAAATATTGTATGGCACATCCCTAGTGTGCTGTTGATAGGTAAATTATCATTGTGACCGTCCATGCATGGAAGTCGATGGTAGCTATTGCTTCAAGGCTCTTGAACCGACAAATCATTACATGCAAACGTTTGTAACGCTCTTACGCTATTTTTACATTAATAAAGATTTTGGGGTCGATAGGTTAAATACCTACATCTATTACATATCTACACTATTCTACACTAATAGATAGATAGATAGATATATCGTTTATTTGTTTGTTACTAGTCACACACATAACATGTTCATAAGAATATAAAAATACATAATACAACATAAGATTTATAAAATTGTGTTTTATACCTACAAAAACATCTGGAACATTGTTCAGGGAACAAAACACTGATTTTCAGCTTCAACCCATTTGAAGGTACGTAATATTATAAAAAGGAATCATTTGATTGTTTGTATGTTTGTAGTGAACTAAAAAACCACGTTCCTTTGATTTTAATAATTTTGCTGTTTTAAAGGTACATAAATCCGTACTAACATATTATATTAAAATAAGCTCACTAAACGTTATTAGGGGAAGAGAATTCTTAGTAATGTGGGTAAATAACCACATTTCTATCAATATACCATGTCAGGTTGATCTCCACGCGGTTTCCTCTGGAAACCATCATATTAAATTCCTTGAGAAAATGCCACGCAGGTTGCAAATGTTTAAAAATGATTAAAAATTACCTCTACTAGTGCCCCGCCAGCGTAAACCGTTAGTGCAGATGGGTGCATCATTCCATTATCATACATTATATTTTTTTTTTTTGACATATCTTTTTCGTAATAATCTACTAAGTATGTCTGTCATAATAGCCGCATTTTCATTTGTCTCTGTATTTTTCCTCACAAAACCTTCGATACCTCTCACTCATCATATACATCGGATACCTCCACTTCAATAAAAAATATTTAATTAACTAATAAGAAAATAGTTATAGGTCGAAACTAGCACAACTATAAATAATTCAAAATATATCTGAAAATGTGCCCTGAAAATTCAATTCACATCCCGCCCTTAGTCCGGCACTGTTCTGAGACGCCCATTAAACTATGGTTATTATAAGACTGCGTCATAAAATTCGAAAGTTGCCGCCATTACGACGTATGTCCCACGAAACTGCATCTAAGAGCCATTCCGGCTCGATTTAAAGCTAATATTGGGACACGTTTCAAAAATAAAGGCAGCGTTATGGTAGTTCTGGAATTAACTTCCGCAATAGTTCCATTTGTTATTTTGCAAGCGATTAATCCTCCATGCAAGCAATTTCTGATAAAAATATTCGAAATTCGAAATACAAAACGATTTTGTAAACAATAAATTCGAAAGATTTGTAACGGCAGTTCACAAAGTAAATTAGAATAATAGAATTAGATACTTGATTCGCAATTCAAATAATATTTACTTAATTCGAAATTTTCAAATTAGGAATCAATAATTTACTTTTGTACTCGATGAGCCGTGTGAATTTTCAGAAATTTACATGTGAGGTCAATCTGGTTCGAAATTCAAATAATAATTATGTGTAACGCACACGAAATTCAAAATTTTCAAATTTGGAATTAATAATTTAGTGTCATAAATGTCAATATACTACGACACGTTTTGGTATTCGACGAATCGTGGGGATTTATCAGATTCTGAGAAATTTATATGTGAGGTCAATCTGGTTCGAAATTCAATTAATAATTATCAGTATAATACACGTAATTCGAATTTTCAAATTTGGATTCAATAATTTAGTGTCATAAACGTCAATATACTGCGATACGTTTTTGTACTCGATCAGTAGTGTGGATTTGTCGGTTTCTGGGAAATGTACATGTTATGTCAACCTGGTTCGAAATTCAATTAATAATTGAGTATGATACACGTAGTTCCAATTTTAAAATTTGGAATTGATAATTAATTGTATTATAAACGTCAATACACTTCACGTTTTTGTACTCTGTGGATTGGGTCGGTTTGTCGGATTCTGAGAAATTTACACGTGAGGTTAATTGGGTTAGTCGAACCTATATATTTGTTTATGTAGAGAACATACACTTCATAATTATATATGGGCACTTCGACCGTGGTCTAGCGTACTGAATCTTTAGATGGTTGCTCATTCAATTCTCGCCCCTTTCAAACTTTTGTATATGATTGTATCTTATTCATTACTATGTACACAGTTGTAGCCCTCGTAGCGTAGTGATTTAACTAACTTATAAATGCCAGGAGTTCGAATTTGTCCAAAAAATGATAAAATAACTTACTCGCCCCACCTTCGCCTGAGTGTACATGTATTAGACATATAAACCTTCCTCTTGAATCACTCTATCTATTTAAAAAACCCGCTTCAAAATCCGTTGCGTAGTTTTAGAGATTTAAGCATACATAGGGACGGACAGACAGCGACAGCGACTTAGTTTATACTATGTGCTGATATGAATAATTCGTAACAAAATCTCCGATGACAACAATCTAAAATAAAACTGTATGCGATGGACCGTATGCTTTCTTGCCACCCGTATAAAAAATACAAAATTAGATTAAAAACAAAACAAAATATGCCAGTAGTATAAAAAAAAAGAAATTAAAACGAAAAAAACTGGTAAATACGTCTCTTGCCAAGCGGGACTAGAATATATTCAGCGAATATGGACATATCAAATTAGAACGATACAGTCCAAAATACAGTTTACATATCAGGTACAAAACAGAATACACCCATTAGGAGTTCCCATTTGTACATTTTTCATACAGACCTTAACATAATAAAGAGTGCCACAGAAGGGGATTACCTCTACTTTACTTTTAAGTAGCACTTATTTACGTTGTCATAGCGCGGGTATCCATTACCGGCGTTGCGTGGAACAAGGTCGTAAGTACTGTACTGGAAATGTAAGTGTTTATAAAAAAAATGTATATAAAATTTTTTATCATAAATTTTCGAACATGACACAATTTAGCCTTAAATTTGGATGCTAAAAAATTGATGCATTATTTTTATGTTTGACATATTCATCAGTTGCTTCTTCCTTATCTCATTTTTTTTAATATTATTTCGATTATTATTTTTTTATTTAAAATATTTATTAAAAAAGATGTATATACTATAAATTTTTTCCATAGATTTTTGAACATTTAGCCCAAACTAGGATACTAAAAACTAAAAAACTGATGCATTATGTTATTGTATTTTTTTTAATTTTAATTACGAAAAATTATTTTGTTTATAAAAAAATAATATATTAAATGTATAAGTATATATAAATTTTTGCCATAGGTTTTGAATATGACACTATTTAGCACCAATCTCCTCGAAACTTACGTACTTAAAAATGGATGCATTATTTTATTTTAATTGAAATATTTTTTAGTTTTTTTTAATAACTCTTATTGCACCTTAAGTAAATTATAAAGAACATAAATTACAGTAATAAACTACAAAAGGTGGTCTTAGCAGATAAGCAATCTCTTCCAGTTAACTTTTGGGTAGGGGAAAGAATATAGAAAATGGTGCCGAATGAATGGACTAGAGAAATAAAGAAGTTTTTTAGGTGACAGAGGAATTGTTAGGAATGGGAACCCCCAATGGTAGCAAATAATATCAGGTCGACACGTGTTCTCTACTGGAAACCATCTTGATCATTTTCTGGTGAATTCGCGGTTAACTGACCTTACTTAATTCCCATCCTATTCTGCTCCCCTAGTACCCTTCCAGCGTAAACCGTTAGCACTGGCGAGTATACTGCACCATTAAATTAAAAATACTTTATTATAATTATTGAAAATCGTAGTACATAGTTTAGAAGTTTATTACTATTATTAAAGTGGTTCTTTTTCTTTCCTTATTTACCTAAGAAAATTTTTTTTAGGTGACAGAGGGATTGTTGGGAATAGAAACACCCAATGGCAAAGTAATATCAGGTCGACACGTGTTCTCTACTAGAAACCATCTTGATCATTTCCTGGTGAATTCGGGGTTAACTGACCTTACTTAATTCCCATCCTATTCTGCTCCCCTAGTACCCTTCCAGCGTAAACCGTTAGTACTGGCGAGGTACCATTATTATTACATTAAAAATACTTTATCATAATTATTGAAAATCGTAGCACTTTTTAGAAGTTTATTATTATTAATAAAGTGGTTCTTTTTCTTTCCTTATTTCCCTAAGAAAATTCGCTCTCTCTCTCTCATTATAATAGTAGGTATAAATATATTACGTCGCTTACGTCGTTCTATACCGCGGTGGTAGATTAGCCCGACCGTTATAGAGTAATGTTGAA